GCCATGAGCCTGTTGTTATTGACATTACTGAACATCATAATGTTATCACGGTCATTGCCATGAGCATGATTATGTTACTGTTGTTATTGACATTACAGAACATCATTTTGTTACCTCGGCCATGAGCCTGTTGTTATTGACATTACAGAACATCATTATGTTACCTCGGCCATGAGCCTCTTGTTATTGACATTACAGAACATCATTATGTTACCTCGGCCATGAGCCTCTTGTTATTGACATTACAGAACATTATTATGTTACCTCGGCCATGAGCCTGTTGTTATTGACATTACAGAACTTCGTAATGTTATCACGATCATAAATCTGTTGTTACTGACATCAGTGTACATCATTATGTTATCACGGTCATGAGTCTGTTTTTATTGACAATCTCGTTGTTGTAGTTCTATATTTTAATAACTGAAAGTAGTGCAATGTTTGACAGGAAACTCTCCAGTGTTTGACTGGAAACTCTCCAATGTTTGACAGGAAACTTTCCAATGTTTGACAGGAAACTCTCCAATGTTTGACAGGAAACTTTTCAATGTTTGACAGGAAACTCTCCAGTGTTTGACAGGAAACTCTCCAGTGTTTGACTGGAAACTCTCCAATGTTTGAATGGAAAACGTACAATGTTTAACAGGAAACTCTCCAATATTTGACAGGAAACTCTCCAGTGTTTGAGAGGAAACTGTCGAATGTTTGAATGGAAAACGTACAATGTTTAACAGGAAACTCTCCAATATTTGACAGAAACTGTCAAATGAGTAACTTGAACCCAATGCTTGCTCTGATATGTGGTATTTGATAGAAGTTTGATGCATGTATATGTATCGTAGAGTGTCCTTTTCACTGATATCTGAAGTCAGTGAATACGTCGTTTTCTATGTAAGCGTTTACAACGTTTCCTCAATAAATTAATCTCTTTGTATGTATGCATACATTACAAGCCACTACAGAGTGAGATCCGCACCTGTAGGTACAATGTAAAGGTGGTTTTAGTTGTTATTAACACAGACGTACTTAATGACAAGAAATGTCTCAAAAACAGACAATTTACATACATCCACCTATAACACACTGAAAATAAAAAACAAGGGGATGTCTAGGCTCTGTGGTTAGGTAATAGCTCATGCGGTTTCTCCAACAGCCTTATCACAACTTTATCATTCAACCAGATCTTCAGAAAGATGGCCGATAAATTATGGAAGAGTGTTTAGAACACAACAATCGAAAGACTTTGTTATATTAAATAAGAAAGGATATTGAAATGACATGTTTAGATACCGTTTTACACCTGTGCGTACATGTCGTTAAATGATTGTTCAAGCCTTATATTTAATAAGACTACATTGTAAGGAAATGTTTCAATCTTACGTACTAATTAAACATAAAGGAAAATATCGATATATCAACAAAATCTTCATTCAAGCTAAAATTCAATAAAACTAGGGAAAATATAAACAAAGGAAAGATTTACACGGATAATTCTGAAAACGTACACGGAGAATAAGACTAAGTTTTCAATTCTTGTGCGTAATGCCACGTTCCCAAAATAAGAACAAGGTAAACAACAACGGGTCCATCAGATGTAAAGAGGGGCGTCAAACACGTCCAAATTAACGTTGAACCAGAGATAGAGAACGTTTCTCAATAAGATCGTTATGACCACTGTTATTTCTTCTGTAATCTTCAACAAATTGTATCTTTTGAAACTCTGTGTTGTGAGTTTTTCTCTCAGCTGCCGACTATTTTTCACGGAAATTGTGATATTGGGATCAGACCCTTAAATATCGATTGCGACCTGTAAACGCACATGAATGGATAATAGAGACGAAGTGTACAATATATATTATCTGATAATATATACACTAATTTACATGTTTTATGAAATGTTTTATCTTTGCCATGTGTAAAATATAATATTTTTATTATGATAGCAAGATTAATATCGAAATTCATCAACTGGAGAACATGAAATTCAGATGTAGATACACATCTATAAACTGGAGTTATATATAGAATATGCTGAAGGTTATGCTCCACTTCATAACTCTTTAAACAGGCCTAGATATATCATTTAACCAGATATAGTATCCTTATTCATTTGCTGTAATTTTATTCAAATGTGTATGAGCAATAAATTCCTCGAACAAAAAATAGTTAAAATATTTCGTCTACAACTGACTAGCTACCTGATATGGTACATTGATAGAGAGTAATGTGGTGATGGGGCAGAAGTATTGAATTACTAAGTTTACCGGACTCGTATAGGAGAAAGCTTCTGTGCGAAAAATGTAATGAAAATATTTATAAAACCCAGATCGCAACACATACATTTGTTTTTTGAAAATAATGCTACCTCTCAGATCACTAAGAAAAGGACGGAGCGATGATCCCAGAGGGTTGATCAAACCTAGAAATATAGATAGGGCGCCAACAGAAACATGTTCTGTTCAGTCCATAGAACTCTACCTAAAGACGTTATCATCTCATTTAAAAGGCGTCTTGGTCTGTCGTCAACCATGGTACATGTACATTGTACGTATCGCACGTGATCGAACAAAGGAAAGCGGCTTCCTAAAGCTGACGTGTACCCGAGGTTTGAGGAAAATATGGGTCTGGATCAGAAAGTTAATTTAAGGGATTAATTACAACAGCACCTCGTATAAATTCCATTTCGTCTGTTTCATTTATCAATATTGATACGGAAGTTTGATAGTAAGCCTTACATATATTGTTCTGACTTCATGTTGCATCCCAAAAACAGCTTCCACAATTATATCGAGGTATAACATTGGGGCTGTTTGGTTGCGAGGAGTATTCTGGATTGAAAATCAAAACAGAATTCTTCTGTTCTAATGACTGACAATATATCTGTGTTGATTGATGAAGCTAATCGGTAATTTGGCTTTAAAAATCACAACTTAAGCTTGTCTTGATAAAGTTTGTCTAGTGTACTGACATTTTCACGCCTTTGTTAATTATGTGCTCCGGGCGGCAGAATTACCTGTAGGTTATATATACATATAGAGTGGGCGTGTACTTACATGTATCTGATGTGAAAAACAAGTAATACCAAAAAATAACTGGCGATGTATCTGTCTATCTATTCAGCGCACGGCGAGCCTTTATCGATCACATTGTAACCATTAACTTTATTTTGTCTTATTATTTTTTTTACATATTAATATCTTATGACATTATAATGAAAGCTGGGAAACACCAAATTGAATTTAAACCAACTTGGGACACTGGTTTGCATCCATGATCTAGGATATTAAAAGATGCTATTAGGAAGTGATAGAGTTCATTCAACGTAATTTACCAGATTTTGAACAGATGTTTTTTAACAAAGTAAATCTCCAGAGTACTTGGCGTTTTTCAAACTTCATCCTGTAAGTGTAGCTCATAATCATTTCCCTTCACAAACAATAGGTGTACGAGATTACTTGTATGATTCTAGACATTTCACTTTATTAGACTTAATTGCTGTCCTTTGAAATAGATTCGGATGAATTTCGTCTTTTCTTCAATTTTTTAGATATCTCGGTTCTAACAGTTGACAATCACAGCAAATAAGCAATTGCTATGACTTAAGTCATCAATGATTGATTCCACACCAGGCATCTTCTTTTCGCTTGGCTGTGTTCGTCCTTTCGTTTTCATTTTTATGTTATAAACCGGAAATGTTTTCTTTGCTAAACGGAAATGCGAAACAAGTTAAATTTTGAGTACTATAAAAAGTCAGTTATAGAGTTGCTTTTCTTTCTTCAATTTTGCTATATTTCGGTAATTTATCAAACTAAGAAAAAGAATTGAGATAAAATGTCTGGTTAACAGTTAAGTTTGCATTTTACGTCATTTCGTTTTCTCGTATGTTTGTACTACAGTGCACAAATTACGTATACATACTGTTACTAGACAGCCATTGTTAGTGTATGGTAAACAAACATGTAACAGGTTCGACACTTGTATTATTCTGAAGACGACAAAGTCAGCAATGTGTTAAATTTATTCCTTAAGAAATCCAGGCGTGGCTCAGAATGCGAAGATTACATACATATGAGTAGATATTCTCAAAGCAAAAAATTATTGTCGGTATATTGATAAGGCAGTGATGTTTAGAACTTTTACATCTTCACTTACAATACCTAGTGTGTACTGTGTTCGCATTGTTACCTGTGTATGTTTACTCAGGTAGCACTAATCATTCTGGGCTGTTGTCCCTTCATTTTCTTTTTATCATATCAGATATTTACATATTATCATATCATTATAATAACAGTGTGTAAGAAGATAGGTCCACTATTGATTGAACGAGTTTTAATTTAGAAAATAAAAAGACAAGAAAAGTTAAAACTAATAACAGTGTGGTCATTGGGCTTGTTCAACAGAAAGCATTATTACTTCTACAAATAGAAAATTTTATATTCTACAAAAAAAGTTCTTTAGGGACATTTGTTAATTACCATGCCGTCCTTGTAGGTCCAAACTTATTACTTAGTCTTTTTTTGTTCTGTCGTACTAAACCTGGGCTGTCCACTGATGAAAACCAAAGAGACAACCTTGGTACTCGTAGTATGTTTGGCTGTAGTGTGTACTCTGATATAACGTAGAAAACAATCGAGTTGTCTTTCTTTACTTTATACTTGCTGACTGTTTACGTTTGATAAAAAATTCTGTTGAATTTTCATAATCTTTTGATAGAAGGAAATGTGTTTTAACAGAACAAATCTTTGATTACAATAGTTATTCATCATGATTAAATTTCGTTTGAATTTCAACAATAACAACAAAAGTAGAATGAATTCGTGCAGAAATGTCTTTCGTTGATGTGTACAGAAATGTCTTTCGTTGATGTGTACAGAAATGTCTTTCGTTGATGTGTACAGAAATGTCTTTCGTTGATGTGTACAGAAATGTCTTTCGTTGATGTGTACAGAAATGTCTTTCGTTACTTTGTACAGAAATGTCTTTCATTAATATGTACAGGGATGTCTTATTGTGTATTACTAGATCAAATCAAAGGTAGGATCTGATGTATTACTAGATCAAATCAAAGGTAGGATCTGATGTATTACTAGATCAAATCAAAGGTAGGATCTGATGTATTACTAGATCAAATCAAAGGTAGGACCTGATGTTTAACTAGATCAAATCAAAGGTAGGATCTGATGTATTACTAGATCAAATCAAAGGTAGGATCTGATGTATTACTAGATCAAATCAAAGGTAGGATCTGATGTATTACTAGATCAAATCAAAGGTAGGATCTGATGTTTAACTAGATCAAATCAAAGGTAGGATCTGATGTTTAACTAGATCAAATCAAAGGTAGGATCTGATGTTTAACTAGATCAAATCAAAGGTAGGATCTGATGTATTACTAGATCAAACCAAAGGTAGGATCTGATGTATTACTAGATCAAATCAAAGGCAAGTTTTGTTGTATTACTAGAACTAATCAAAGTTTGTTTTTCATTCACTATAGTCTCTATAATCTTAAGTCACATCGATATCGGAACTCGAAATTGGCATTTAAGCTGTTTACTTTGTTTTTGATTGCAGCTCTCACCAAATGCAAAAATAAGGTAATTTAGTTTGACTATCGTCCAAATCTTACTGTAGAATCCCGACAGCCTATAAGAATTTTTCATGCGATATAAATTGGGAAATTAACAAAAAAGGACTTGGAGAGTTATGTTACCTTAGAGATGATCTCAGGAATCCTACACTCTAGCTGGCAACTCTCCAACAGTTGATTTGGTAATAACACTGACACATATACAAAACAAGGCATATAGCAAGGGGGTTGGAGTATAAACCTGTAGGGAATTCAGACCTTACACTAGCGCCCAGATAGCTTTTTAGACCAATACTTTAAAACAACCAACCCCTGTATTAAATTTCTTAGAAACATAGCTTCTTTAAATATTTTTAAAACATATATCTAATTATTGTTCTATTATTGTACAGCTGTGAAAAAAACAAAATACTCAAGGAATATATGTCAATTAATTATATATTTTTTCAGTAGCACTTACGATTTCAAACATACATGTCCTTTGAATACCTTACAAGACCTAGAAGGATGAAACAGCAGTATGATGAATTATTATTGACGAGTCCTAGAAGGACAAAATAGCTGTATAATGTACAAAACAGATGTAGGATGTAGTATTACTGACGAGTCCTAGAAGGAAAAACAGCTGTATGATGTAGTATTACTGACGAGTCATAGAAGGATAAAACAACTGTATTATGTAGCTTAATTCATTATTTGGATCTAATGATACAATTCGTTTGTGTTGTATACAATTTCATTATGTTTGTGTATTATTTTTTCCGAATATCATTCCACGAAAGGAATTTTGAAGGAACGCAGTCTTAGTCGTTGACAACATCACAATACATTGATGAATTAATGAACAAGGAAATATTTTGTGACCTACTTTCGGTTAGTATTTTGGATTTCATGGCACTGTTTACCAGGGCAGATATCGAATTCCTTATACACAATGTACCTGTCATCTGTGATGTCTATGGAAATCTTACATCACCATACCTAATTCAGATAAGATAATTTGGATCATAGTGTTATGGATAGGCTTATACCCGGAGAAAGTCAGCTAATATCAGGAGAAAATCGGCTAATTTGAGGGAAAGACAGCTAACCTGAGGCTGAAGCCGGTTAGTAGTATGTGGAAAAAGTCGGTGAGTATGTGGAAAATGTCGGTGAGCATGTGGAAATAGTTGGTGAGTATGTGGAAAAAGTCGGTGAGTATGAGGAGAAAGTCGGTGAGTATGTAGAGAAAGTCGGTGAGTATGAGGGTGAGTATGAGGAGAAAGTCGGTGAGTATGTGGAGAAAGTCGGTGAGTATGTGGAAAAAGTCGGTGAGTATGTGGAAAAAGTCGGTGAGTATGAGGGTGAGTATGTGGAGAAAGTCGGTGAGTATTTGGAAAAAGTCGGTGAGTATGTGGAAAAAGTAGGTGAGTATGTGGAGAAAGTCGGTGAGTATGAGGAGAAAGTTGGTGAGTATGTGGAAAAAGTCGGTGAGTATGAGGGTGAGTATGAGGAGAAAGTCGGTGAGTATGAAGAGAATGAGGAGAAAGTCGGTGAGTATGTGGAGAAAGTCGGTGAGTATGTGGAAAAAATCATTGAGTATGTGGAAAAAGTCGGTGAGTATGAGGGTGAGTATATGGAGAAAGTCGGTGAGTGTGTGGAAAAAGTCGGTGAGTATGAGGGTGAGTATGAGGAGAAAGTAGGTGAGTATGTGGAGAAAGTCGCTGAGTATGTGGAGAAAGTCGGTGAGTATGTGGAGAAAGTCAGTGAGTATGAGGATGAGTATGAGGAGAAAGTCGGTGAGTATGTGGAGAAAGTCGGTGAGTATGAGGAGAAAGTCGGTGAGTATGTGGAGAAAGTCGGTGAGTATGTGAAAAAGTCGGTGAGTATGAGGGTGAGTATGAGGAGAAAGTCGGTGAGTATGAAGAGAATGAGGAGAAAGTCGGTGAGTATGTGGAGAAAGTCGGTGAGTATGTGGAAAAAATCATTGAGTATGTGGAAAAAGTCGGTGAGTATGAGGGTGAGTATGTGGAGAAAGTCGGTGAGTGTGTGGAAAAAGTCGGTGAGTATGAGGGTGAGTATGAGGGGAAAGTAGGTGAGTATGTGGAGAAAGTCGCAGAGTATGTGGAGAAAGTCGGTGAGTATGTGGAAAAAGTCAGTGAGTATGAGGATGAGTATGAGTAGAAAGTCGGTGAGTATGTGGAGAAAGTCGGTGAGTATGAGGAGAAAGTCGGTGAGTATGTGAAAAAAGTCGGTGAGTATGTGGAAAAAGTCGGTGAGTATGAGGGTGAGTATGAGGAGAAAGTCGGTGAGTATGTGGAAAAAGTCGGTGAGTATGTGGAAAAAGTCGGTTCGTATGAGGGTGAGTATGAGGAGAAAGTCGGTGAGTATGAGGAGAATGAGGAGAAAGTCGGTGAGTATGAGGGTGAGTATGAGGATAAAGTCGGTGAGTATGAGGAGAATGAGGAGAAAGTCGGTGAATATGAGGGTGAGTATGAGGGTGAGTATGAGGAGAAAGTCGGTGAGTATGAGGAGAATGAGGAGAAAGTCGGTGAGTATGAGGGTGAGTGTGAGGAGAAAGTCGGTGAGTATGCGAAAAATGAAGAGAAAGTCGGCTAATAGGAGTCTGTTTATAACATACCAGGACAATGTCTGTGTATAACATATTAGGAGAAAGTCTGTTTATAACATACTAGGAGAAAGTCTGTTTATATCATACTAGGAGAAAGTCTGTTTATATCATACTAGGAGAAAGTCTGTTTATAACATACTAGGAGAAAGTCTGTTTATATCATACTAGGAGAAAGTCTGTTTATAACATACTAGGAGAAAGTCTGTTTATAACATACTAGGAGAAAGTAACTAGGAGAAAGTCTGTTTATAACATACAAGGAGAAAGTCTGTTTATATCATACTAGGAGAAAGTCTGTTTATATCATACTAGGAGAAAATCTGTTTATAACATACAAGGAGAAAGTCTGTTTATATCATACTAGGAGAAAATCTGTTTATATCATACTAGGAGAAAATCTGTTTATAACATACAAGGAGAAAGTCTGTTTATATCATACTAGGAGAAAATCTGTTTATAACATACAAGGAGAAAGTCTGTTTATAACATATTAGGAGAAAGTCTGTTGATAACATACCAGGAGAATGTCTGTTTATAACATATTAGGAGAAAGTCTGTTTATATCATACGTGATACAAATTTAGTTGATAGAGATGTCGTTAATTAATATACAATAGTGTAGCTGGAGATAAGACTCTGCATGCTTTCAGAGTTATTTTGGCACGGACAAGTCTATATGGTATTTGAAATGAAATGAGCAATATTATTGCTGAGATAATTTGTAGTCAGTGGTATGTACCAGTGTAGTAAACATACGTGAATTTTAAACGCCCGTTCAAGATAAAAAGAAAAACTCCATCATCCTTTTCGGCACACTTTTGATGGTAAAATATCTCATAGTTTCATTCGCGTAATATATGACTACCCTTAATCAATACTTTGATTTTATCAGAAAGCTACTTTTGATCTCCCCCATTTTCGCTGGAACACCTGGTAGAAAACCATATTTTATCGTTATTTTCACGTTACACCTAAAATATACGTGTAACTAACGACCGTTTGACCAGATATATCGGCCAGCTTCTGCAGCCGCTTCGCAATGTTAGGACAATAATAAAAACCAAACTATTGTTAGCGCATTAACAACTTATAAGGTAGTTTCACTGCTTTTGTAATTTCGTCACTTTGTGTTCTGTATTGTGTGATATGAGGGCGCGTAGTACATATGTTTAACGACCATTAATATCACAACAACATAGTTCAATAGTGCGTTTCTATATCACTTATGGATGGCGCCGTCACATACAGAATAGCGTTTTGAAAGCGCACCGGCCCTTGTTTATACGACAACAGTAGTGACGTCATAATGGTCAGACGTTCAGTATCATTTAATGTAGGTGTTACATCTTAAAAACCACTATAATTAATAGGCAGCTCACTGCCCTTAATGTAGATTTAGCCTTATACTAAGCACGTCGAAGCAAGAGGATTGGTTAAAGGACAGATAGGAAGAGGAAGGTGGTTCTACACTAGGTAAATTCCGATATATTGATAGTGTATTGAAATTACTTAATAAATACTCCCTAATGTTAACCTAATCCTAACCTCTGGGCCGACATTATCACGCATGCTCTTTTTCAAAAAGCCGCGCAGGGATCGTACGAGTTGGTCATTCTCAAAAGGGCCACCATTTTAGGCCTATCCGACGGTCTGTGGGTTAATGGTTAGTTTTAAGTAAAATGCTGGCGGTGATCTGTTTTTGGTGTCCATGCGGGTGTAATTCTTCTTTCTATCTATATCTGTCACTATATATCCTGTTCGCTTTATCAGTGTCTGTACTTTCTGTATTACATGCTGTTCCTTTCACTTTCCGACGTTTTATATGACTATATCTTGTGATGGAGATGTTAGTATCGGGAGTGGTTGGGGCTGTTAGTAGAGGTCTACTTAGTGGTTAATGAAATAGACTCGTTGTGGTGTAGCTTAGTGTCATGGGATAATTTTAAACTTCCTGTGTTAAAGGGTAGGGATGATAGATAGAAAGAAAGACTACTGGGAGTGGTAGGGAAAGATGGACCTGTAGGTATTGTGCAGAGTATAGACGGAGCCGGGGGAGGGGGTGATTGTATGGCGTTGCATTGTAAATGGAATCCGAGTTTCCATCCTGTGATAGTCACCTATGTGATGTTGTGTTTGTGTATGACGTGACGTGCTTAGGGCATGATGTTCCCTCTCAAGCGCCACAGTGGTGTTGTTGTACAAACAACGTAGGTGATTATAGAAGTAATGCGTGGGATTTTGATTGTCAGAAATGGAGCCCTACTGTGTCCCTTACGGGTGTTACATCAATTCTCTCTGGTCTTTATACCGGCTGTGATAGACCTGACATATAAATATCTGGTTTATATACTTGCTGTCATAGACCTGACTTATTAATATCTGGTCTTTATACTGGCTGTGATAGACCTGACTTAATAGTATCTGGTCTTTATACTGGCTGTGATAGACCTGACTTAATAATATCTGGTTTATATACTGTCATAGACCTGACTTAATAATATCTGGTTTATATACTGTCATAGACCTGACTTATTAATCGTTCTGTTAATGTGTGCTTACGATTTAACTTTGTAGAACAATAACGATTTAATATGATGTCAGAGTTTCAAGAGAGTAATGATGATATGCTTTGGTCGTGGTCTTTCTGAGAGACTTAAACATCGTCCTAGCATATAATCACTTAATCAACTCTGTCGGTAATTGACGCTGGTCCAATGTTTATATCACAAATGTGTGTAACATGACACATCAACTGTCCCGCACTAGTAATTATTATTTTTTAATGCAATCTACTCATGATTTTTCATAGCGTTCTTCGTGATTATGAAATGATAGCGAATCCTTGTTAAGATGGATATATCTCAACACATTTAGTCTGAAGACAAAAACATAGAGCAGATTCTACCCAACAAAATATATACAAGGAAACATAGGAAGTAAATTGAAATTATAATAAAAAAAGATGGATGAGTAAATATAGAGATAAATACAGGCTTACAGTTGATATATATCATAGCAACAACACACACACTACAATAGTACACACACTACAACAGTACACACACAACAACAACACATACACAACAACAACACACACAATACAACAGCACACACACTACAACAACACACACACTACAACAGCACACACACAACAACAACACACACAATACAAAAACACACACACTACAACATCACACAAACTTCAACGGCACACACACTACAACAATACACACACTACAACAGTAGACACACACTTCAACAACACACACACTACAACAACACACACACTTCAACAACACACACTACAACAACACACACACTTCAACAACACACACACTACAACAGTACACACACTACAACAACATACACACTACAACAACACACACACTTCAACAACACACACTACAACAACACACACACTACAACAGTAGACACACACTTCCACAACACACACTACAACAGTACACACACTACAACAACACACACACTACAACATCACACACACTTCAACAGCACACACACTTCAACAACACACACTACAACAACACACACAATACAACAACACACACAATACAAATACACAAACACTACAACAGCACACACACTACAACAGCACACACACTTCAATAGCACACACACTACAACAGCACACACACTACAACAGCACACACACTACAACAGCACAAACACTACAACAGCACACACACTACAACAACACACACACTACAACAGCACAAACACTACAAAAACACACACACTACAACAGCACACACTACAACAACACACACACTACAACAATACACACAATACAACAGTAGACACACACAATACAACCCACACACTACAACAACACACACACTACAACAGTAGACACACACTTCAACAACACACACTACAACAACACACACACTACAACATCACACAAACCTCAACACCACACACACTTCAACAACACACACTACAACAACACACACACTACAACAACACACACACTACAACAACACACACACTACAACAGTAGACACACACTTCAACAACACACACTACAACAGTACACACACTACAACAACACACACACTACAACATCACACACACTACAACAGCACACACACTACAACAGCACACACACTACAACAGCACACACACTACAACAGCACACACACTACAACAGCACACACACTACAACAACACACACACTACAACAGCACAAACACTACAACAACACACACACTACAACAGCACACACACTACAACAACACACACACTACAACAATACACACAATACAACAGTAGACACACACAATACAACACACACACTACAACAGCATAAACACTACAACAGCACAAACACTCCAACAGCACACACACTACAACAAACCACACTACAACAGCACAAACACTACAACAGCACACACACCTCAACAACACACACACTACAACAGCACACAAACTACAACAGCACAAACACTACAACAACACATACACTACAACAACACACACAATACAGCAACACACACGCTACAACAGCACACACACTACAACAACACACGCACTACAACAACACACACACTACAACAGCACACACAATTCAACAACACACACACTGCAACAGCACGCACATTACAACAACACACACACTGCAACAGCACGCACATTACAACAACACACACACTACAACAACACACACACTATAAAAACACACACATTACAACAGCACACACACTACAACAACACACACACTACAACAGCACACACACTACAACAACACACACACTACAACAACACACACACTACAACTACACACACACTTCAACACCACACACACTACAAAAGCACACACACTCAACAACACACACACTTCAACAACACACACACTGCAACAGCACGCACACTACAACAACACACACACTACAACAACACACACACTTCAACACCACACAAACTACAACAGCACACACACTTCAACACCACACACACTACAACAGCCCGCACACTACAACAACACACACACTGCAACAACACACACACTACAACAGCAAACACAATACAACAACACACATACTTCAACAACACACACACTACAACAACACACACTACAACAACACACACACTACAACAGCACACACACTACAACAGTAGACACACACTACAACAACACACACACTACAACAGCACAAACACTACAACAGCACACACACTACAACAACACACACACTACAACAACACACACTACAACAACACACACACTACAACAGCACACACACTACAACAGCACACACACTACAACAACACACACACTACAACAACACACACTACAACAACAAACACAATACAACAGCACACACACTACAACAGTACACACACTACAACAGCACACAAACTACAACAACACACACACTACAACAACACACACACTACAACAACACACACACTACAACAGCACACACAATACAACAGCACACACACTACAACAGCACACACACAACAACAACACACACACAGCAACAGCACACACACTACAAAAACACACATACTTCAACAACACACACACTACAACAGCACACACACTACAACAACACACACACTTCAACAACACACACACTACAACAGAATACACACTACAACAACACACACGCTACAACAGCACACACACTACAACAACACACACACTACAACAACACACACACTTCAACAACACACACACTACAACAGCACACACACTACAACAGCACACACACACTACAACAACACACACACTACAACAACACACTACAACAGCACACACACTACAACAACACACACACTACAACAACACACACTTCAACAACACACACACTGCAACAGCACGCACACTACAACAACACACACTACAACAACACACACACTTCAACACAACACACAAAACAACAGCACACACACTTCAACAACACACACACTGCAACAGGACGCACACTACAACAACACACACACTGCAACAACACACACACTACAACAGCAAACACAATACAACAACACACACACTTCAACAACACACACACTACAACAACAAACACACTTCAACACCACACACACTACAACAGCACACACACTACAACAGTAGACACACACTACAACAACACACACACTACAACAACACACACTTCAACAACACACACACTACAACAACACACACACTACAACAACACACACACTTCAACACCACACACACTACAACAGTACACACTACAACAACACACACACTACAACAACACACACACTACAACAGCACACACAATACAACAACAACACACACATACACACACACACACACTACACACACACACTACAACACACACACTACAACAACACACACACTACAACAACACACACACTACAACAACACACACACTACAACAGCACACACAATACAACAGCACACACACTACAACAGCACACACACAACAACAACACACACACAGCAACAGCACACACACTACAAAAACACACATACTTCAACAACACACACACTACAACAGCACACACACTACAACAACACACACACTTCAACAACACACACACTACAACAGCACACACTACAACAACACACACACTACAACAGCACACACACTACAACAACACACACACTACAACAACACACACACTTCAACAACACACACACTACAACAGCACACACACTACAACAGCACACACACTACAACAACGCACACACTACAACAGCACACACACTACAACAGCACACACGCTACAACAGCACACGTGCACAATGTGACAGCACATACACTACAACAGCACACACTACTGATATGTAATATTACACACACAACACAGCAACACACACACTACTTATATACAATATTACACACACAACACAGCAACACACACACTTCTTATATACAATATTACACACACAACACAACAACATACACACTACTTATATACAATATTACACGCACAACACAACAACACACACACACTTCTTAAATACAATATTTCACACACCACAACAACATACACACTACTTATATACAATATTACACACACAACACAGCAACACACACACTTCTTATATACAATATCACAAACACAACACAACAACATACACACTACTTATATACAATATCACAAACACAACACAACAACATACACACTACTTATATACAATATCACACACACAACAACATACACACTACTAATATACAATATTACACACACAACACAACAAATCACACACTGCTTATACACTATATAACCATACAGCATCATGTCGCACACAATATATAAACAGTATATAGACAACAACATCGGGATTTAAACATAGGGGCTATTCTCCTTTCCCAACCCAACGCTCCCCCTCCTTCTACGATCAAAGCTCAATATTTTTGTTTTAAAGACAGTATTTTGTCGCCAATTTTATTTTTATCTTATCAGCGTCAGTTATAAATAACGATTTTGTAATTTTGTCTTCAGGGCTTAGTTGAATCGACATTATGTCAATAATAATGCTTTTTATGCTGTCGTTACACTATGCATTGGAGGGAGGGTATCGACCATTACGTCTGTCAATACAGGACACAGATACTAAAGCTAAAACATTCAGGCCAATGAGAGAAAATCATCATAAGTTCCATTTAAAAACGATCCGTTTTCCTTGTACAGAATGTCTTTAGTACTTCAGAAATACAAATGAAGATTAATATTTAACATATATAAAAATGATTCGATGAAAAATATATATTTCACGTTATATTATCTAAGTAATGTTCAAACCATACAAGTTATGTGATACAATTATTCCCAACTTTGAGATCCACACCTTCGACCACATAAACATTTTACAAAGTGATTGTATGAAATTTACGAAAGCCTAATGGTGTCAAAGCAGAAAAATTAAAACGTGGAAACATGCAATAACGCGAAATAAACATGTGAATACGTAAATAAACTCGAAGTAACGTGTTTTTTTTTACGTAATAACGCGAAAAAATGCGTTATAACGTGAATAAATACGTAATAATGCGAATAAACGCGTTATTACGCAAACTGAATACTCGTTATAACGCGAAAAATCACATAATAAAGCATTTAAAATACCCTTATATAAACCGTAATAACGTTTTAAAACGCGTTATACGAGTTTTAAATTTACGTTATTACGTGTTTTTTTAATAACCGCACATAATAAAGCATTTAAATTTAAGTTATTACGTGTTTTTTCGCGTTATTACGAGTTTTAAATTTACGTTATTACGTGTTTTTTCGCGTTATAACGTGTATTCAGTTTGCGTAATAACGTGTTTATTTGTATTATTACGTGTTTATTTACGTTATAGCGCATTTTTTTTTTGCGTTATTACGTTAAAAATCACGTTACTTCGGGTTTATTTGCGTATTTACATGTTTTTTCGCGTTATTGCATGTTTCCACGTTTTAAATTTTTTGCTTTGACACCATTAGGCTTTCGTAGAAATTAAAGCAACTACGAACACATAAAAGAAAAAAACCATCAAAGGCCCATATTCGAAGAAGTCCATGCTATATGAAATATTTGATTTAGTTTTACCTGTTTGAAGTAACAGCAGCATTTGACAGTATAATTGACTTTCTGACGAAAGTGTCTTCAGGTGTAAACATAAAAGGGCGAGTACCTACTGTTACCGTTCAGCGTCACGCCTTGCAGCCCACAATCGTCTGCAGACGTATTACCTGTATCTGAAAATAATTGACATACGTAACAACTGCTGTACAATACACCGGATCACGAATCTGTGGTGAGTATTTGCGTTATTCTAAGTTATCACAAATATTCTGAAAACAAAAATATCAACTTAAAACATTGTCATATTTGTCGGACCGGAATTTTCGTCTCCGCCTTTTCCTGCTAATTTTAGACACTCCCTGTGCGTTTAAATCGCGGTTGGTGCACCGGCTTTGTTGTGATATTGTTGTCTACTGTGTATATCTAACAGTAGGATATTATAAAACTTTTACGGTCTGTCGTGTTTATAGTGTATACTGTCTATAAACGACCGGTAAGGATTACGACGTTGACTTAAATATATATAGAACACCTATTATAAAGTCTAGAACAGCAGCACGTGTTCTGAAGAGGTGCCGGTGCTGTTGTTTACATTTTGGCGGATTCTCCACATAAATTCACTACCTACCGCTGTGGTAAGTAAACCCATGTTGTTATGTATTCGTTGAACCATGATAGCTGCGACTATGTATTTTCATGTACTATATGTGTACATTAACCTCGAAAACCCTGAACTTTTCATAATGTATGCGTCGCTTGTAGATTCTAAATACGCATTTAGAAAAAAAAATAACGAAGAGCGGGAACTGAGTCATTCTGTCGGTCGGTGTGTTTACTACACATGTGTATACATTGCTCATGGACATTAGAGCCATTGTGCATGTTATGTTGATTATTCATTATAACATCCTGAACATATATTTTCTGCTGGCCTAGATAATGCAGAAAGGGAGGTGAATAATAAATAGCTGTAGACTTTCATTATTGTATAAATAGAAATTATCCAAGGCGGGGTTTGTTGCTTCACTATTTACAGAGGAATTTAAAGGGAAAACAAACATTCTAGAATACGAAACGTTAAATGAGCCGTATTGCATGATATGAAGAATATACTTGTATCATACTTTAAACAGGCCCACTCTTCCAAGTTCAAACGATTCCGTTACAGGTTTATAAATCAACATTCTCGCGTCCGGTTCAATATGTATCTGTCCTGCAATCTGTTGCTGTCCAGCTTGCGTGAGCGACTCACACATGTACTGTTTCTCCTCTGTGTTACTGCGAAACACTGGGTTGGTTGCCGGATAGTCGGATTTCTCGGACCAAATCAAGAATAAAGTAGATGTCATATATAAGTAGGAAGAACCGAACCCTGTTACCTTTTTTGAGTCTGTGTTACATATGTATACACGCGAAAGGACGTTGTGTACCTGTTAAGCTTATTTTTACTGTGGAAATATAACTTGTCCGATCAACCTAGAAGTTCATACACTCATATACAAACACATTGACTAGGTGAATACATTTTGATAATGAAACTGTTCGTGTCGGTGTTTTTAGTTTGATTTAAACATGTTTTATTACTTCTATAAAAGAAGAAAGACGTTTTGGCACAAGTAATGACAACTTGTAGAAGCCATCTCTTCCACAATTTGATTAACAATATGACAGTAACAGTAAACAATTATGTTCATTTTACATAAAAATAAAACTGATTTGGAAATCAGAAGAGTGAAAAAAGGAGACAGATTGAAAGTGCAGGGAAATGAAAAGTAATAGCATACAGCAATTCATATCCACGTACAACAATCTTTATCGCATAGTAATATATATCTATATATCAGTGCTTTTATTGTTAACAATAATTCAGCTTAGGTAAAACATTTCCGGAAGCATGAAATATTTTCCTTATTGAAAACATTACAAGATAAAATGTTTATCTGCCGACGAATGTAGTTCGGTAATGATATGTATTACATTTAAGTTCAATGAGTATCTTCCCAACTCCCCCTATGTAGTTTACGTGGTATGCTTTAGAATTATTTGACACGTCTTTAGATGTGTTTGTTGTATAAGCTATTAGATGTTCTTATCCCCGGATTTTCTAATCCATTGTGGACTTAAAGATTAACTTTCATCCTACAGTTACATTGACGTTATGACAGAACAAAACTGAATGCAAGTCGGCGTCCGCACGTATGCGACATATATGTATATAGATTGTACAAAAGTCACCCAAATGAATAGCAACTTCTGGTACAAATTACAGATTTAAATACAATAGAGTCAAACAAGGAATTAAACTATGTCATGCAGCTGTTTGGTCCTTCGAGGATTCATCAGTGATGCAAAGGACCTACATTTTGAAGTCTAGGTGGCGACTGAGGAAAGTGATGGAAAGATGAGTCAAAATCTGGGATGTGAACTAGCCCCATATATCCGATAATTTTAGAACAACGCCATGTATGTGTGGATATTCCAAACCGTGCCACTATTCGAATGAATTAAAATGTGAAGATTGTAGAAAATATACTCAAGTGAATAGCATATAGTGAACAGGTAATATGTGTACTTGCTCAGTAATTTGATACATTTTTACCTGCCTACGAATGCACTTCAGTAATAAGATGTATTACGATCGGCGTGCGGCAGCATAACAAGGTAAAGTGTATTTAGTGATATTGATATCCGTACAGCTAAGCAGTTTTCTCGCTGTATGTTGAACCCGTAGACCGAAAACTGTACACAATGACGCCTGATGAAAAACGCCCTTACGAGTTTATTACCTGTTAATATATGTCACAAACTGATAGAAACTGTAGATGTGTCACAAGTTGATAGAAACTGGTATTATTAAATTTACCACAGAATGAATGTTATTTTTAAAAACATATTAAGCTGACAAACATGTCGGGGAATCGCACATGTCGATAGGAAACAGGTGATGAGTTATAAATGTAGCACAGTCTGACGCTTCCATAGAAACCATGTGGTTCAGCTATGTTAATCACTGAAGTAGTCATCAAACCGTCAGGCGACATGTACATTGTATCGAAAAAATAATGAGGAAGTGAAGAGGAGTGGGAATTTGAACTTTTCCTAAGAAATACGTCATTTTACCTTTGATCATTTGTTATTTAAGTCTTGTACGGCGAATACAACAGGACATCTCTTACGTGTATTGTGTATTATAATCCACGTGTACTGTATTCGAGAAGTGTGACACCATAATAAGATATTGTACAATGCACGATGACGATGCATGTGATATTGCAACATACCTGATACAAATGACTATTAGTTACACATATTTACGCTGTTTGAATACAAGCACTTGCGTGTGGCCATTAGCTGGTACACGTAAGTGATATGTTATCGTTCACATTATTGGACATTACCGCATAGCGAACATGACTCATTTCTCTAAATAAAGGTAATGTTCTGTAGTACAGCTATATGATCAATGTCGAATTCAGCATGTCTTTGACTAGAAATGTAAAAATGAAGATAAGGACATAAAAATATGTGTTGTTAGGCTTCAGCAGTTCAGCGGTTACCTGAAATGTTGATCAAGCATGGAAACGTTGCTAAATGTATTTAGCGGTTTGGCGTGTGTAGGAAATATTTGTTCAAAATTATAATATATAACATTTTTTTTAAATAAAAATTGATTGAATTTTCGATATCTCCCGAAATACATTTTTTTTTTCACCCTAAATAAGCATGACATGATAGATATTAAGGTACGTGAGATCAGAAAATACATTCAATAACGATTCATTAGCAGCTACATTTAAATTAATACCATTTTTGTTTAATAAGAAACAATGCTAAGTTGTTTAGTACTAGATACAAGAACATTAAAGATATTCAACAGCCGTTCTAATTCATAAATACTTTTGAATCATTAATGATTAATAATAAAATGGTTTGCTGTATACTTCTTCCTTAAGTTAATAACATCTATATTTTCGAAATAAAGCTATAGTGGAATTCCTCTCATGAAAACATAGGTCACACAAACTTTCTTTTCTGGGGATGTGGTATCAATGTCCGGTTTCAATAAGAAACTAAGTATTGGAAGTACGTAATTTTTGTTATTAAATTCTGTTTAGGAATGATAATTGGGTTAAATAACTTTAAAAAGCAAACCCTTTTGTAAAATTTTGAGTAAAATGGACCTTTTAGAGATGTTACTTCGACAACCATTTTAGTTTGTATGAACGCGGCATGTTTAGGCGCTGTCTAACTTCATGTTTATAAAACCTTGCATTAAATTGTAATAAGTTGTCCGATACACACATTATCATTAAAAATTTGTTTCACATTTTCATAGCCATTTTACATCTGATTTGTCTGTTTCGACACTAGCTTGCCATCAGCCTTTGGAAAATATTGCTTAATTTATTCTCTGTTAGTTGAAGTTAGTTCCAGATATTAAATCATTTTCATCGTTACAGGTTAATTACAATGAGTATCTTCTCAACTCTCCATACAAATATTTAGGTATGTGTGATAGATCTATTATTATTTATATATTGTTTTACACAACTTTAGATGTGTTTGTTGTAAAAGCCATAGATCTTCGTATCACGAGATATCCCGGCGAGACAGGACAAGGGGAACAACTCGTACTATCACTAAATGCAAGTCGTTTATATAGATTGTGTGTAGTGATTCGGTAATATGTATACTTGGTCAGGAATTCGATATGTCACAGCGGACACGAATGTGTTTCACAGAAAAATAGGATGATTTACAATGACTGTGATCATTTATATTGGAATATGGGGTAGTAAGAACTAGGTTTGTTTTATATTGATTTCACTTCCATTATATATAAAATGCTACATCAAGTCCACCAAATTGTGATCGTTTTACACGTACAAGTTGATGAGTTTTTCATTTAGCGACATCAAACCATGTACCTTAACGTATCGGTCTAACGTCTTTTTCCCCAAAATTTTACTGCACGGCAATTTTATTAGAATATCCGAACCCAACAGTTCTATCACCGTTTTATTGATGGCTATCAAAAGGAATGAGGTAACGAATAAAACACATCTAGGACTGTATATGATGAATACGACACTGTAATATAATGTGTTACTTTTCTTTTATTTTAAAGACGTCACGTGATAAGGATGCAACATCTTTGTCTGTTGGTTTTGTTCAGCGTGCTTCTTGGCAATGGTGAGTTGACAGCGTCGTAACAAAGGAATATTACCTTACAGAACAAACGGGAGATTTTTCAGCATCATGAGATATGTAATTAATATGCATTTCATGATTCTGCGGATTAATTTTCAATAAATCTTTTGCTGCAATCCTAAATATTTTGTGAAGCTAATCATGTTTTTAACATTAACTTTTATGTCCGCTTTAACGGACCTTCAGCAGATGAAGAAAAGATGCAAAGTTAGAAAAATATGTTGGGAGGATATGAGAGAAGTCTGGTACGTGGGAAGGGAGATGTCATTATAACTGTGCTCATTGGGACATTCGATAACGTTTTTCTTGCGTTTTTTGTCTCGGGTCTAGGTGACGCGCAGGAACCATGCGGTGATGTTGATAAAACACTTGGAGACTTTGAAATGCAACGTTACTTTATGGAATCTCCATCCGGCTTTGAGAAGTAAGTAAATTACACTTAACCTGTCCGTGTTCGTATTTCGTTATTAACCTATTGGTAGAAACAATAAAGAATTTTAATGGACGTTTTCTCGCGGATACAATGCTTTGCATCACCCAAGGTCAAGGTCAACACCTATGACAGACTATTCCTGTCATTCTGAGTGTAATGGTTGATCAGTACGAGCTTCCTGCCTAGTACTGGCCTGCGTATCTCTGCCCTAGAAACAGACTGTCTTTTGAATATTTTTTTCTTCGACACTATCGTGTAATATAGCAGTTGTTGTCGTGAACTGTGTGCATCGCGCTATAATCAATTTCCTATCACGTGGTTGATCTGATTGTGGCGAGATTGCATTAATGGTCGCTATAAAAATGATGGCGTGACCTTATTGAAACATTTGACATCGAGGCGTATGTGAGATTTCTTTCAGGGTAAAGCAACAAAGTAATACATTTCACGGGCAAAATCGATGATCAAAAATTGGATCGGAAAAAAGAAAAAGAATTGTTGTGGAGGCCGCATCTGATTAATTTTGTGATTTAAAAGGCTTTGCCGAGCAGAAGCATGAAATGCTACCCGTAATTCTACACAAGACTTTTCCATTTTCCAGCAGGTTATACCGTCCAAATTGATAGCATTACCAATAAGGAGTTATATTATGGTATGCTTCTCAGTGCTTCAGTTTGTGTTTTCAGGTTGAGTGGTGATCGATAAGTTAAGATGCACCCATCCTTCCACCCGAGATTGATAAATTGCATAAAAAATACCAAGCAAGTTGTAAATCCAAAGTGATCGAAGAAAACTCATAATTCAGACAGGAAGGTGCACTAGTACCATAATCAAATAAATTTCGTTATTTTTGTATGTCATGAGATATAATTTAAGAACAATGTCATGTACATGTGTGTATTCTCAACCGTGCCACTAATGGAATGAAATAAAACGTGGCGGACAAGTTAATTATGTTTTAATTTCAGAACAACATTGTACTATTGACTAATTCCTCGATCTTTCGATGTGACAACTTGAGTCTAACAACCATGAAGGTGTCAATGCATACTTATTGCAGCCCTTCTCGGGTTTAAAATGATGTGTCTGTCGATTTTCTGACCGTATTCCTTCTAGTTTATAAACGTTGTGCTTAGCCTCGTATTTCACTGAAGCTTATATCGGATGCAAGAGTTGTTTGAATTTCAAATCAATTATAAATCGTCATACTATTTTTGGTGATCACAATTAAACATCGGACTTCATCCAGTTGCCATTCTGAATTTCATAATTGCCAACTGGAAAATTGGAATATTCATTTTGCCCATTGCCATTTAGAATTCCAATAAAGGAATGTCCGAAGTTAATCGCATTAATTTTGAACTGGTTATATATTACCAGAACTTCTCTCCATTAGAAATTTTTGGCTGCAAATACAAAGCTACCTTTCGTCAGTTACACCACATACATACAGTAATAGTAAACATTGGCGTTTTTCATTACCTTGCAGTGGTTTGACATGCACGTGGACAGTGAGAGCTGCAAACAGCGGAAGTCGTATCGCCTACCAACTTATTGACATCAACTTGGGAATAGACGACTTTGTCAATGTTTATGCAGGTAATGGAGAATTGTGTTAAATTATTGTTTGATATATCCTGGTGGTGACCTGGTACCCTATGTTACTTCATTTATCCGACCGTAGTGTTTAAAAAGTCGCATTGTGTATTTCATGGGGAAGGTTTTTGGGTTGTCATTATGATCTCATTGGAAAATCTTCAACAGAAATGTACACACTTTCTGTTCCATCTTAGACAGAAACGCTACGGAAGTGCTTCGGCAATGGTACGGTAATGTTACAGTATGTTTTTGTGCGAAGCAACACGTGTTTGGTTCTCTTTAGTTTGACTGGTGGTCCCGTTGTTGTTTACTTTTTTTCTTATTTGGGAACACAACATAACTTACCTGGATTGACCAAAAATTCCATTGGGGTGTCATCGATTGAGCAGAAAACACTAACCTTTCCGGAACACCTGGTTTTATTTTCCTTTTGCCTCTTCAGGAGTGTCGGTGTAATTCTTTCTTTTGTTCTTTCTTTGCCTTCGTTTCATCGAATTATGTTAAAATAAATATTCTGTTAACATGTCGATATTTTCGTTATTGATCTTATATCATAGTCGAAGTGGATACACATCTGATTATACTTTTGTGTAATACTGCTTGTAGGTACGTCTGCAAACGACCCAGTCGCATTGCAGAATTACACTGCAACATCAGCATCGATCAGTGTAAAAAGCGTCAACTCGTCAAACATCTACGTGACACTTCAGACCGGAAATGATCCCCAGTCGAAACGGCAGAGTTTAGATTCGTATTACATGGCCGGAACAGACAAATGTAAGATCACTTTAATGAAAAAACGACATTTTTCATGTGAGGACGTGGGCATAACATAATTATTATTGAATGAATACCACAAGTAACAGTGAATATCTCCTTTAAATCATTTTTTATGTAATACATCTGTAATATATCAGGTTTGACTTGGTTTCATGACTAGTAATGTTAGAGGGTCTGTAAATGGACAACACTGTCTTTCCAGCTGGAGCTGTGTCCTGTGTGAATCAGATGCTCACTGCTACTGCAGAACCACAATTCCTTACGTCTCCGTCGTTTCCAGCTAAATACCCACTGTAAGAATATGTTTATTGGTGTTTACGCCTTGATATTTGTAGTGAGATCTTTAGTTAGATATTTTGTATGCACCAAGGAAGATAACTCTTTACTGACATCATGGCTGTGATTTCACTGTGGGTAAAGATATCTCTTTGGGGTAAATATACTGATTTCAAATGTTATGTAAATTAAAGAGTAATGTGACCTTTGTTCCAGTTAGGCTGGTGATAGGAATGCATTTCTGTTGTAAATAAATATAAGGAAGATATCTAGCCATTAGATTCTGCCGAAATTTCTCAGTACTATACGTTCTTGGTGACATACACGCCCCGAACAAGAGTACCATATGCCGTCACGTCAAAGACTTTAAATCAACACACAGGTGGTGGTGGCTCTGTTAAAGATAACGTTATCACCTGTTTGATTTTCAGGTCAAAGCAATGCAACTGGACAATTAATGCACCGGAATCTGCTACTCTAGAGCTGACATTTTTGATGATTGACATTGAGGTGTCTGCAGATTGTCAATATGACAGGCTTATTATTTATCTACGTAAGTATGTCCTAACCGTTTTATTGATCCTTTTTTGAAAGTGTTAAGAAGCCAAAACTGCAACTTAGATTTACGAATGATGCAGATAAAATTGAAGTAGAATTTTGAAGAATATCGAATATCAATACCACGTAAGGATAAAGAAACGCAACATTCAATTGTATGATATTTTGCATCGAATAAACATAGCCTTATAAAAAGTGAGGAATATTAGGACACTTTACCTAATCCCCCATAAATGTCAAAAGTCCAATCTGTGACGAAAAAACTTATCCCCATCCGGTGCGCCAAAATTATCAATATACCGAACGTATACAAATGCATGTGTTATTTTTCATTCAACACCAAGACGCGTGATCATCAATGTATTTGCATTCAATTATTGTCTTTGTAAATATATCACGGCTATCCCAACTCGATAGAGGACGGACTCTCGCAGTTCTCATAGAAGGTAGCACTCAACAACATGTCACTACTACCTTCGGAGTTCACAAATCGACTATAAGTCGGTTTTATATCTCAACGCTACAGGAAGAGTCAGTGACAGATCGAAGTCCTGGCGTCAACGTGTAACGTCAAAATCGGTTTATTAGGCTTGCCCAGGTGCGTGATAGATTAACGACAGCCGAAACAGCAAGAAATACCACTGGTGATGGAAACCGTCGAATCCATCCAAAAACTGAGAAATAGACTGCAAGAGGAAAATTTACGCCCACGTCGCCAGTGCGTTGGTGTGCCACTATCACATCAACGTCGAACACGTCGTGATGTTTTGCTTTTCATTATAAGGCACCATGTGACCTTTCAGCAAAGGCACCATGTGACATTTCAGCATCATAACACTAGTCCACGCTATACAAGAGTTGTAGAGACTTTCTGTCAACCCAGAATATCATTCCTATTTATTGGATTCTTCCATATAGTCCTGATCGAACACTTGTGAGTTGAATTAGAAAGAGTTCGAAATCGAGTAAACAACCCGTATGTCATCCGCCAATTGGCCAACTCACTTACCGGGGAATAAAATAACATTCTTCGACGGATTGTCAATGTCTTATAAACTCCATGCCACGCAAAATTATCGACGCTATAGCTGTTCTGGAGGGCACACACGATGTTAGGGATCGGTCTGACAACGGCCGTTATTTCAACTTTGTGAACATTAGTTTATTATAATTCATGGCGTTCTTATGATGTTCCAATATTCGAAATTAACTATCTTATTTCACATTTAGACATATCGCTTATAAATATTATTTTATTAAACCGCATTTGTGAAGTTGAATTTCCGTTTCTGTTACCTCTTAGAATCTTTTTTCACCTGAAATGTGTAAGTTAAAATGAATTGAAAATATATGAAGGTTATTGTCACCGCCTGATGATTAAAGATTTGTGTGCCTACCAGTTTATCGTTATTAATATCTTATCAGGCCCTTGTCAAAATTAATCACTTTCTGGGTTGTGTTAACATATGCTATTGTAACAAACAGTTTCTAAACTGCTCTGAAACCCCAATTCATATTTGCTGTTAATTCCCTAAAATGTTGTGTATGCCAATCAATCCCAATGGAATGATGTGTATATTTTGTTTAGCTGGCGGAAAAGAGTTATCGATATGTAAACGTGGAGTGTGGGTTCCAGAAACACACACAATAGCTCACAACCAGGTACATTTGGACTTTAGCGGAGACGACTCGGATTCATTTGCGGGATTTGTATTGACTTACAAAGCGAGTAAGTACACTTACCTTAGTACCAATATGTACAACAGCTAAATAGGTACTTGGTATAATGGCCAACTATGTCCTTAGTACAGCAGCCAAATATATACAGAATTGGACGTGTTATAGTGTCAGATTTCTTTATCATTTTAGTTGTCCATTTTGAAATGATGTTCTCATGCTGCCATATATTTAGGTGTTTGTGATTAGTATCACATTTAATGTATTCAACAGAATGAGACCTCTGTCTTTCACATACCAGTGCTCTTCTTTTTGTGATTTCATGAAACACTGCGTACAACTAGCTCTAATTGTGCTGTTATAGGTAGCTCATACACTCCATGTCCGGTATTGTGTAATGTACCTATTTAATGATGAAGGATTGAGAAATATCCTATTTCTTTGTGATACATGTATATGAAGCTGGACGCACGTTATGCTTGTAGTTTGCCTGTTGTTTCCGTTGTTCCGTTATATCTTGTTCTCATTTGAGGAAGTGACACTTCTTACTTGTATTGACTTATATTCACATGGCAGATGTCGTCGATGAAGCAGGAGACGCTTACTCTTTAACAACACCTGGTCTTATTCTCATTGTCTTTTTTCAGAAGTCCGCGCTAATATTATTGAATTAGAGTTTTTATTATAATTTAGATGACCTATCGATATTTTCTTGCTGTTTTTGAACCATTGTATACCCGGATTTCTCACAAATAAGTCATGCTGTTGTGTGTATTTTAAGAAAACATAAGGTACACATATCAATGTATTATTTCAGTCATTCCACCGCCAATTACAACTACGACTGCGCCAGCACCAACACCAGCAAGTAAGCTAAAAATAACCCAAAAGTATATACTTTTAATTTCTCTGATATAGAAAAAATTATTTTTTCCCTTCAACAAATATCTTTATTGATGTCCCGTTCATATTCCATATCTTCCTCTATGATGTCGAAAACAGTCTCAAACAATAACATAAAGCACGCTGTTAATGAATGATTTTTGATGTTTTAATTGATGTAATTTGTTTTTGTAAAACGTACACACACTGCTTTGTCTTGCTCCTTTATTCAATATATGGTGTTGGTATTATGGCATGCGTTATTAATGCTGTTGCTTGTGAATATTCATTAGGGCTTGAAGTCAAAGATAGAATGAATACGCTAATGGATGTTATAAAATGGGAAATAATAATAAATCTGGAATCAAAATCTGGCAGGCTCTCTAAACACTTTGTTTTTATATTTGTAAAATACAATTATTTGTTGTATTATCAACAGATGTTTTTGAAATCACAAACTTTAATGTATATGAAATAATGAATGTGGATATTTCACAAATACCATCTAGTGATTTTGACAAGTGGAAATAACTTGATCTTCTTTCCCTGACACGTGAAAATAACTTGAACTTCTTGCCCTCTACTTTCAAAGCTTTTTTATACATTCGCTAAGCTTTCTCACATTGTATAAATAATTTGATATCTTGCGTGTCATTATGAATAATTGTTACAAAATTTTGACATGTCTGTTCTCACTAACAAAAATATTTTGTTACAATCATTGTTTGAAATGTTTTGTGTGTGTGTTTTTTCCTGGAACACTGAACACCCTTTTAAGTTTGTATGATTCCGTTGTTGTAAGATATCAAAAAATACAAACAAGGAGTGATTTCGCATGTCTTGTTCTCCTCAATCTTTTATGTTGGTTGTAGATAACTTCTTTGTTGTTGCGGTATTTGTTACCAATCTATTTTAAGCCTCTATTTAGAGGCTAACCAACCATGACTATATTGCCGTCGAAATAAATTGGCTTTGCAATACACCATTCAGTTAAGGTCAAAACCTTCAAATCCTACTTTTCCCCCTGTATTTGATCCAAAATATAAAACCTTGTTTCAAGGCAAACCAAAAACCATTCCATCATTTGGAATTCGAATTTCCGCTTTTTTACAAAACACAAATATTGATGTAAACCAAATTCAGTCATTTGGAACGATAGAAATTCCACCCTGGTTCATGAATTCACATGAAGTTGACTTTTCACTTCAGGAAATGGTTAAATCAGACACAGACCGTTACACCTTTCGTTCATCCTTCTCGAAATTGCAGTTGAAATATGAAACATTATTACATTTATATACTGATGGTGCAAAAGATAATGATAAGGTTGCTGCGGCAATGGTTGCACAGGGTGGTCGGCGCAATGGTTGCCTTTCAAGATGAAACCTATGGATGGACGTGAAAAGGTAAGGGGTCACCTGTCCGACCGCGTGGGTTTTCGGCTACCGAACAACGCTTACATCCGGGCCAACAAGAGTGATTAGTATAAGTTTAAATAACTTGTTTCGCAATTGTTGTAAAACAAATAAAGTTTATATTTAATGGTTGCACAAGATGAAACCTATGGATGCCGGCTACCGAACAACGCCTCAATATTCTCGCCCTTGAATATATTGAATATATTCAAAGAAACAAATTAATGAGAGCTGTTATCCATTCAGACTCTCTTTCTCTTCTACAAACTCTTAGCAATAGAAATATCGAAGATATTTTCATTCGTAATACCTTTATTCTATAACATGAACTTGCATTTAACTTTCGTATTGCTTTTTGCTGGGTTCCTGGGCACATGGGAATACTAGGCAATGAAAAAGCAGATCATGCCGCAAAGGAAACTTTATTGCTACCACCTGTTGTTTTAAAACTTCGTTTTACCGATTTTCAACCATTTATTAAACACATTTTAAAAGCGCAGTGGCAGGAGGACTTGAGAACGTTTTTATCGTAACATTACATGTCTAAAATCCCTTTTTGAAACTCTTGAGATATGTAACATTCTACATTACCTGAAAGATGTTGGTGTATATAATAGAATATGACGTACCATTTTAAACTTTTGTGTTAACGTACCCATTTAAGATTTTTAACATTTGTCTTTTACCTTTTGGATCGCTGTGTGTTTTACCGTTTGATGGCCCTAATGATCTTTTATGTGTTGACGGGCCGTTAAGAATGTAATAATGATAATAATAATTTTACGATGTACCGAATGCTCTACAATTTTCTGCAGTTCAATTTACTTTCGAATGCAGCAGACTTCCCCCAATGTTTGATTTTCGTTCGTTTTTTCAACCCGGTATTTCGGAATTGAACTTGCCTTTCCCAGCCTGTGTTCTTAGCTTTTCTTCAAGTGCGATGGTTTCCTACTTGACCTTCCTTGGGTGCATAGATACTTCAATATAAAGCAAAAGGTATGTTTTGTATCAATTGGTATCATTTGGCGTGGACTCTGATTTTCGTGAAATAATGTATATTAAGTCAAAATGGCGATTAGAATCTTTCCAGTCAAATTACATTTTATATTGTTATATTTTGAAGGTAGAATGTAATTTCTCACATTACTTTTTATGATATATGTTCTCTATAAAATTGTAACAGAGCGAAAAAGGCATGAAACTACAAAAGACGTACATAATGCTTCGTAGTAAATTGTTTTTTCTGTGTACATTAAAGTACAATTTCGATAACAATTAGAAATAGAAATGATATAAGATGTGATTACATGTAACTACAGTGGAAAAAGTGTTACGTCTTCTAATATGTAGATGAAGTTTATACTTTGTTTTCAGAGAGTGAATATGATTCGTCTGGATGCAATGGTAAGTAATCAGAACAGGCACCAATAGGAGTTGCCGGGGATGCTGAAACCAGTGACAGTGAAGGTGGCTTCAAACATCCATTGAGAACGATGACTAAGAACGGTCTATTTCCCACGTTTAATAATTAAGCTGATTTTACGACGTCCTTGATACGCCTGCATAGTGTATTCTAGAATGACAATTCTACTTCACTACTGTTATCAAACTACTTCAAAATGTTATCATCTAATAAATTTTCTCGCCTTTGTTTGCTTTTCTCATGTTTACGAAACTTCACTTTAAGTACAAGCATAAATTGTTGCATTCACTAAGCTATATTTACAGTTATAAACGTGTATGTAGCAAAAATATTATGCGTGAATGTGCGGATGAAAATAGGTTTCTGTTCAACCCTATCGGAATAATAATTTGTTTCCGGAACACAATGATATATGACTGACGGGAATTCCATTTGTAATGCTTGCCGACCCTGTCAATAGCATGAATATTTATGGCTAGGGCTTGGTAATCTTTACTCCTGTACACTTAAAAAGCTCGCTCGTTTCAAGAATAAAATCAGTCGTTGATGTCATCTTTAGCACTATTGACGTCGCTGTATCGGAGAAGATGAGCTTCCAACATCAAATTGGTATGTGCACATTTGAATCGACATTATCTGCAATACATAATCATTATGTTGAAATGGTAAATGATGACCCATAATGATAAGTTATACCGATCGGGAAAGTTTTATTTTGTTTATATTTTTACTCGAAGTTTATGATTTTATTTAAGTCTAACTTTGATACGTTATTGTCAGTTATGGGGAAATAAAAAAAAGTGTTGGTATTGACATTTCTTCAGATCAATTTCGTTTTCCATCTGTCGCCCCCAATGTTTTCAAATTTAGGTCCTTAGCATCACTGGTGAGTCGCAGGACGAAACAGCTTTATGATTTATGCAATTTGTGTTGAATTGTGCTATTCACTTGCGTGTCTTTGTACCTTCCTGGAACAGGAAGCTAACGTGCCATGTCTTGTCTTAGGTGAAGCCTGTAACCAGCCGACAGTCTCGGGATCTTGTCTTGCCTACTTCAAAAAGTTCACATTTGATGCGGGGACAAAAGCCTGTAAAGAGTTCATATATGGTGGTTGTGGGGGAAATAACAATCGATTCGACACGCTAGAGGATTGCCAAGCTACATGCCTAAGCAAGTCACCTACTGTTGTTCATTTCAATACACAAGGCCGGGTTCGAAATGGTGGGTATAGACTGCATGCTTACTATTTTTCGCCTTTCAACATTCAGTCATAATTTTCAAAACTGTCCGTGTTTTGCCAGTATGTTGAATCATATTGATTGTTTTTTCGTCCTGCAGCCCTAGTTTAGATTTTGAGATCTTTTTTGTATCCTGTCTCCAAAATATAAACTGAAACAAGATAAAAAAAATTGAAATAACGTAGATATGGTTAAGGCGGTTGTTGATATTATCATAAATATTATACATTTAATGTTTAAATGAGAAATAATAAAACAATTCATAAAATATAGCAAAGGGTACAGAACAGATGTGCGATTCTAGATATTAAAAATATGTGATTTGTTCGGTTTTATTTTATTATTTCTTACCCTGTCTGAATAAAATTACACGTTTAGACAAAAAGGATTAGGTCTAAAAATCAGTTTGCACAGTGGGAAAACCGTATCAGACTTTTTGCTATAATATTCCTTATACATAAATAACAGTTCAATGGTTGTCGGTACGTTAGTGATTGTGTTTTATTTTCCTAATTTTGTATCCATTCTTTCGAGTTGAAAAGCAAATGAATACTGTCTAAAACATGTATGAATACAGATTATTAATCCCATATGTTTCATAAATTTGATAATACATAAGAAATTTCGATGTATTGTGATACGCACTGTTATATTCGGAGATAAGTGGATATATTTCGACAAAGCAAATCAAACCCCCTGCATGTTCTAGACATGGCTGAGAAAATATAAAATTCTCCGAATATCCTAATTATGCTTTGTCCTCTAGGTTACACATCATTTATGTTTTTTTTCTGTTTTAAGACACATGTGACTTACCACTGGTAACAGGACCTTGTCGCGGAGCGTTTCCGAAGTATGGATATGACACAGCCAGCAAAGCCTGTAAGGAGTTTCTGTATGGCGGTTGCGATGGTAACGCAAACAGATTCGATTCGAAGGAACTATGTGAAAACAGCTGTATTACGACAACAGAAAGTAGGTTTTTTTACAATTGGTATCCTGCTGCAGTACATCGAATAAAGGAACGCGAACATGCAATGGTTCTTTCTAGTAAGCTTAACTAGATTTTTTCTATTCCTGCAATTTTGATAAAAAATGAATATGAGGCATATGATGCTGAAAAGAACCGTCAGTTGTCCGTGCAACAGTCCTTAACATTTTACTTACGGGAATTTCCATTCGGTATCTTAATTTTTAAGGTGTTCCCAACAAATACTGGAAACGCGTGATACTTTTGACAGGTCAAGAAAGGTCATACACAGTTATAGATCGTTTTGCAAAGACAATGTATAGTTAGTTTTTGTGTTGGTAGCCGAGTTATTTGTTATTAGCTCACCTTAGCCGAATGCTTGTCCGTAAACTTTGCTTGGAAGATTTTGATGACATTTTATATGAAAGGTCAGTACAGTGTACTGATGATTTCTATCATATTTTAAGTGAAAATGAAATAACATATGACGGCCAACTCCGCCATATTTAGAATTCATGTTTAACTGATAACTCTAAAACCATTTGAATGATATTGAAACTTTTCAGAAATGATCCGGAGATGATATTGTTCAAGTGGTTTTGATTAAATTTTCATCGAAAGTAAATTATAACCATGTGCGCAATTATCGGTAAATTTGTAATGAAAAACGTACACCAATTTGTGTTTGTAGAAATGATAACTTGAGACTGAGAAATCGCTTGCATTTTATGTTTCGGCAGTATGTGTACATTATTAACGTGGATAAAATTCGGGATAAGTGATTTTCAATTGATTTAATTGTAATTTTGTTCTCTCTGTTAAATTATGTATATACATCAGCTACAGTATGGCTTTGCTGTCAGGGGCCGTACCAAGATGAATTTCGTTGACAATAATTGTACCATTGAAGCATTTCTGAGTATAAGGCTTACTATCACAATTTGCTGTTAGGGGCCACGCATAGGAAAATTTGCCTCTTTTTATAAAACTACCTGGTATGCAACTTTGATCAGAAACTAACAAGTCACAGTTGCTATTGTCATGGAATGAATGGAAGAACTATATCTTGACGTGAAATTGTATATTGGCATTTTAAAATAATGAACAATTATAAATCAGTCAATGCAAACCGTATCAAATATTGATTGAAAATGGTAACTTATTAGACATGTGACCTTTGGTGATCTATATATTTTTTTGACGAAACTTTACATAGTAATTAGATAGGCAAATGAAATGTGTGCAATATCGATTAATGTTGATGAATTATTTGACGCGTGACTTTTGATGACCTATATATTGACCTTTGACATGTTCGTTTTGAAAATTTACAAACCATCAAATGTATTAACTGTTGTGTTAAGAAGATATTAACAGAAATGAAGAGTAGGCAGGAGAGGAACGATTTATTGCTGAAAGTGTCTGCATTTGTTCTTCTCAAAACATTTAAATAGATTACAACGTTCGTTAAACAATATTCCAGTACTACTTGTAATGTGTCTCATTTTATGTGTAGGACAATAGTTACCAAATCAAGTCAGCTTTTAGACTTTTAGGTCTTTTATTTGTGATACGATTGATCATCATTGTCGACGTTTATTTGACACCATATTCATACAATTATCAGTAGGTTGTATTGACGGAAGGAGTTGTCCAGTTGAACTTAGTGGCTTGTACACTGTAAAGAATACTATAAAACGCTAAAAGATTCTCCTGTATACCATTGCAAATATTTCAACCTATTTGTTTGCGTTATCCTTTCAGACATACTTTTCATAATTCCTGGGGATTTTGTGAAATCTGTATGGGCAGATACCATTTGCTCCAAATCCCCTTTCTTTAAAACGATTATAAATGGTCTTAAACATCGCACATTAGATAAAGGTACTCGAATATAGAGCCCAAATGACATGGCATGCTTAAGAAACTAAGGTATGATGGTTATCAGTCTTCGTCACTTTTCGCTATTGATAATTTTCTTTGCTACTCATAATTCTGGAGTTCGAACGTATGTTCCCGGAAAGAGAGTGTTTTATAGATTTCTCATTTTGAATGCCGTTTACCTGATTTCAAAGTTACAGGGAACACCAAAAACGTTCAAACGTACATCAGTGTCAATATATGAATGTAAATAATAAGGTCAAAGGTCAATCATGAGCGTTTCCTATAGATAAAGGTATTTTGCAGTTATGTGTATAGGATGTTATCTCTAAGAAGCATTTCATATAAATTAGATTTATGTTCTATAAAGACTAGAGATAATGCCTTCTACTGACGGAATCCTGTGAGGTTAAGGAATAAATTTGGCAGATAGGTACACGTAATTAATTTCTATAAACTTTACACTTTACAAAAATCCTTTTGATTGTTATGTTGTACTCTACAACACTGCAACTTTTGAATCATGCATTGTTCTGATTAAATGTTTGAGAACTAATTCCCCAGTGCTTTAATATAGAAGTTGTCCACAATCTAACTCATTATTTCAGAATAGGCCTAGCATCTGGGTTAGATTTTGATCTTACAATTGCTCTATCGTTCAGTAAAGTACCCATTTTATATTTTGCGTATTACGTATGTGATGAAAGCTTGTTTGACATCTTTTTAGATAATGAAATGTCACACATTCACAGATGATATTGTGACTTGACAAAGGAAACCATAGATATAGAGCAGAGATGACTTCAAATTTGACGTAATGATGTCCGTTGTCTCAAATGTTTGAGAAGTCGATCATGTGATTAAACGGATCTGAAAGTCTTTTCCATCTGATATATGGTTTATGAAACTCACCATAGGCTCGCTTACCTTACAAATCATCGATTCAAATATTCGAGTACTCCTGTAGGATCCTATATAAAATTATTACATTTTGCTATGTGTAACAGTACACCGCAACACGCCAGATAAGACAGGAATGATACATAATCATTTCACAATTTTACACCTGGTAATAAACATCAATTTATCGAAATATTCGAGTACTCCTGTAGGATCCTATATAAAATGATTACATTTTGCTATGTGTAACAGTACACCGCAACACGCAAGATAAGACAGGAATGATACATAATCATTTCACAATTTTACACCTGGTAATAAACATCGATTTTTCGCGTGGCAGATTTATAGTAGTAGAGTACTTGAGTACGAGCCTATTTTGAGTATTTCATTTAAACTACCGCTGTAAATTTCTAGACAGTGGAACATATTTAAGATTTTCAGTTTTATTTTATTATGTATTATGTCTTACTTTCTGTCTGTATTTTAAAATGTTTTATCAGAACAGGCCACTTTATCTAAAAATTAGTTTGCATTTTGGGAAGACTAAGCTTACCTCTAACATATCTCACTAAATCCGTTTACGGGATATGTTCAGTTAGGCTTCCTACGTCCGTGCATGGACATTTTCCGCACCGGAGCTCTGAAACCATTTACGATAACTACTCAGAACTTTGTTCACATATGATTATCTGGTTAGTAATCTGTTATCAAGGACATTGATAGGCCAAATTACAAAATGCTGTTGTCTGGAGCATAACTAGCATAAAACCTTCATCATATATCAAGCTAGCATTCATATCGTCATAACGGAAGTGATTGGATTTCTTACCTTCTGTTGCAATATTAACATATTTAAACATATATGGTTGCGTGTTTTTCTTCTAAACAACGGGCGCAGGAAATGAAATCTGTATTTAAAAGTTAAAATTCAATTCATGTTTATAAGTTAGCGACTCCTTTCTGATTATCATAATTTTACATCCATTCTGTCGGACTAAACTAGTCGCAATTACAAAATATGGAATATAGATAATTTATACCGTACATTTCAACAATTGATGCACTTTACATTTATTTTCATACGTAGTTTATATACATTCCGGACATGAACAGATAAACGGATGTTCTGTGACTATGCAAATAATGCATTGTTTATGTATTTCTGTTTTAAGACACATGTGACTTACCACTGGTCACAGGACCTTGTCGTGGAGCATTCCAGAAATATGGATATGACACAGCCACCAAAGCCTGTAAGGAGTTTCTGTATGGCGGTTGCCATGGTAACGCAAACCGATTCGATTCAATGGAACTATGTGAAAACAGCTGCATAACAACAACGGAAAGTAGGTTTTCATACACATTTGATCTTGCTTCATAACAAATGTATTGAATAAAAAGACACGATTAGACTATATTTTCGGATAGATTGGTTTGTTTCATTCAATTATAAACGCAAATATATTTGACGTATATTAGATTTAAAATAACGGTCAGTTTTCCGTCCCTCAGTCGTCAAATATTTGCCTACGAGAATTTCCGAGTGTGAATACCTGGAGGGAATTTTGATCTCTTTTTTTTGTGTTCTCAGTTAATATTAGAATGCTGTGGTGATATTGATAGGGCAAGAGACACCATGCTCAGTAAAAGCTAAATAAGAGTTTATAGTTAGTTATTGTTTCGCAGCAAACACTTAACATCATTCATAATTTAGTTGATACAAAAAGAAAAAACGTAAAAAAAAAAACCCTACTAAATCGTCTTTTAGACTTTGAAGAGTTCAGCAACAGTTGAACTACATAGCCATGTGACACAAACACTCGAAACCTCTATTTTTGATCGGATTGATCTTTCAGGAGTGTCCTTTTCTTCTGTGATTCATGAAAATGTTTTGCGAGTTAAATGGAAAAACTTATTTTGGATATTAATATGAAAATTATGCTTGATCCTACAGGTTCTAAAGATGACTAATAAGTAAATATTCTGTTAATATACAAATCATGCTTGGTCCTCCAGGTTACACATTATTTATGTATTTCTGTTTTAAGACACATGTGACTTACCACTGGTCAAAGGACCTTGTCGCGGAGCATTTCCTAAATATGGATATGACACAGCCATCAAAGCCTGTAAGGAGTTTGTTTATGGCGGTTGCGATGGTAACGCAAACCGATTCGATTCGATGGAACTATGTGAAAACAGCTGTATTACGACAACAGAAAGTAGGTTTCTATATCTATTTTATCTTGTTGCAGAACATACATTGAATAAAGAAACATGCAATGATATTTCTGAATACACTTTTTTTGTGTGGTTTTGTGTTCTTTCTTTTAATTTACAGGGTCATGAGTATATTGGCTTACCCGAAGAAAGATTTTAACAGTTGAATGTTGAAGCCACACGATTCTGCTGTTTTATGTAAATGATTTAAAACTTTTGTGGCCTCAAGTATCCTTTCCACGCTTGTATTGACGCTACCTGAATCGTGTACGGTACATTGAGTTTGTGTTAAGGATCCATAGATCAATGTAACAAGATATAGGTACAGTAGAGATACAAGCACATTTTACATACTTTTATTCTGTTTATTTATTTCAATTTCATATTTAAACGGCTCTTGTATTACTTTACTTTAAAGATATGAAACAAATATATACCGATAAGAATTACTTTTTACGCGTGTCATCTGCAATAAATCTGCGATATGGGCTAAAACCGGCTTGAGGTTAGGCCATATTTGTACTTTTTGAAGCGAAAATCGATCGAATCGTATAAACAAATGATGCGTTATTTTTGCTATAGCAAAATACTATCAAACGGGGGTAAAAACTTCTGGATTGCTATGGAGTCGCACGGTAACCTAGAGCGAAACTCAGGTAATGGAAAGGTACAGGTGCCTCCTTGTTGTACCTACCCGGAATCCCCGGCATTGTACATAAACTACAATGTCATTTCACAACACTACCAGCAGTATAATCGATCATAATTTCAAACAAAGCATTGTAAGGTATGCTTTTTATTTGTTGATTATTTTTTTGTCTTCATATCAATGTCTTAATAGAAATATGTCATATCCGACTCGTGGCCGGGATTTTGTCGCGTAAAATTCGTCTATCGTGCACTCTCAAAAACGCACTCTTATACTCTCCATTTTTCCAATCCTCCGCACATCAAATCAAATGGACTTTTCAGTTCGCGGTATCCATTTTGACTAGAAAGGCAATAAATCGCCAAACATTTGACGTTTCCAACCTGTACAACACAATACCCTATTCTAATCTGAAAGAGCGCAATTCTTTTCTTGTTGTGAGAGCTTTCTGAAAGAAAGGTGAGTGGCGGTACTAATATATGGTCGTGAACTGTACTGAAGCTTATTTCGAAGAAAAAAAAACACCTCCAATTACGAAAAACAAATGCACGCAGGACGAACCAACTGATTTGCGAAGAAAATGTAGGTGTGTGTTCAATTTGTGTGAAGGTATATACTTTGGGTGTGTAGCAGTCTGTAGCATGCATCAAATAACAGACACTGACATCTCAAACTCCAATTTCCCAAATAAAGACGCATATGATACCTACGTCACAAACCTCGTCTTCTGTACTCTTTCATACTACTGTTACAAGGTATATTATGTCGATGGTTATATAAGACGAGCAACGCGTATGCTTGTCACTCATTCGCTGACATTTTGCCCATTGTATGTGAAACAAAAACTCAGATTTGTCCATAATCTATCAGTTCCGCTAACTCACGACGACATATCTAGTTGAAAACCTGCTTATGAATGTCTTGTGTCTGGTTATTGAAAATGATGTTTGTTGTGTTCACTTATCTTATCAACACTAAATTGTATTAGAGAATGTTGACTACTGCTTGCTTCAGTAATTCACAAATGATTGTCAATTCAGCACTGCATGGAACTATTTTATAGGAACCTGTATCGGATATTATGACTCCTTATGATAACTTTATTTCAAAACTCATATTGGATGTATTGTAGATAATGGGTTTTGTGTATGTCCTCTTTTAAATTTCTTCTCATCCACAGTTTGTTGTTATTAAAAGTACTTGCAATATGCACTTGTTGTTTATCGTATACTGTACAAACAATACTTATGAGTTTATTTCAGATGTGGTGACATTCAACTGATGCTCTATTCACATAGGGAATAGGTTCATTAACTCTTTTAAGATGTAATTATTTACATTAACATGCAATTGGATGATATCTACGATATTACAATCTGACATAAAGTACCCATTATAAATGTTTTGTCCGCAACGGTGGTGTATGGAAGAATTCTAATATAGATGTGTGTTTTGATAAATTACGTAACCCACGCTTGCTAATTTTATCCCATTTTCCTTACAGGCTGTGAGGTGGTTTCGTGTGTCATTCCTATCATCGTTGTTGTCGTCTTAGTCATCGCTGCTGTAAGCATTGCCATTGTCTTGGTTAGGAAGAGACGTAACGATTCCACGAAGTATGCTCCAACTGCTGCCAGGGAACCAGGCGATGTTAGCGAAATGAAAGTGGCCCCGGATGCCGCCGAGAAAGTGTAAAATTACTCGCTTACCCATGATGTCATCAAACCGTTGAAATTCTTTATCAATGATTCAATACGCTTAATGATGATTTTGTTCTTACACGGCACCACCCTCCAACACACACACACTCAAACCCAACCAATACCCAACCCCGTAGTGAAATAAGGGTTTGTTGAAATATGGCCGGATAAACTGTACACATACGGTAATTTGTTTTTGATCCGCCTCGTTTTATTTAGCATTGTCCCCTAAGCTTTAATTATAGACTGAATGATTCTCGGACAACCCCTCATGCAGTTGTCCTTTTTCCAAACATCACTAATATATCATTGTGAACATGCATTTTGTTTTTGCTTCGCCTATTTTGATTCGAGTTATGTCCCTTCTACTTTGTAAATGTAATGAAGACGAAACAACAACTCCAGTTTTAATTGATGTTTGAATTTACCTTTGTTTGGTGAGGTCTTCCATTGCAATGTTTTGTCCAGACCCGCTTTAAAGCTAATGTTTGAAGGGGAAAAGACCACCATTGATGGGGAACGTTAGGTATTGGTCTGTCGCCCCTCATTTGATGGTTTTAATATGTCTGCATCAAAACAGCAAAGGTTTGCAAAGATGTATAAGGCAGGTTTTTTAGAAGCTAATTGCACATAATCCAGGAGGTCGAATCCCAACAGTGTCTTGATCATTATACAGTGATTTTCAACACATATAAATTTAGTATAAACCAGCTGGGAATGATGACATCAACAATGATTATATCACTATTTACTCTGAATTGGCGTCATTCAGACACTTAACTCCTTTCATCATGAAGCAAGAGGTCATCAAACATTCTTGCTTACTCATACATTTCGCTTTCCTTTCGAAATGGGGTGTGTAATCATTCAGATGGTTTGCCCTTTTTTCATCTTGATTGTGTGGTAAGTTAGATCCACCCCTCCTTTCACTGGAAATTATGATCATTCAGATATATTCAGATACTTTGCCCTCCATTCACAATGGAGAGTGTGATTAATCAGAAACCTCGCCCATCCTTTCATTATGGAGAAGGTAGTCGTTAAGACTTTTTGCCCCTTCTTTCATAATGAAGTGTGATCATGCAGATATTTCGCCAATCCTTTCATCTTAGACTGTGTGGTCACTCTGACACTTTGTACATCCTATCACAATGGAGAGAGCGGTCAGACAGACACATTGCCCCTCCTTTCATTATTGACTTTCACTCTCATTTCATCATCGCGATTGCGGTAATTCAGACACTTTGCCCCTTTTGGCATGGAAATTGTGGTCATTCAAACACTTTTCCCATTTTTCATCAGAAAGTGTATGGTCACCAGATAGTTTTCTTCTTGTGTTATCATGGAGAGTTTAATAATTCAGACTCTTCGCCTGCCTTTCATAATTGAGGATATGGTTATACAGACATTTCGCTCTTCCTTTCGTAATGGATGTTTCGTTAGGCATTTCAATTAACAGAACAGTCGGATATGAGATTGAGCTGTTAATATGAAGAGGAACTGGGCATTTCAAAGCCGTTTTGGAATTTCACAGAGTGCTTTTATGTAATGCACAAATTGAGTTGCGAATCGAATGAATTGTATTCGGTACTGTATCGATAAAAGTTTATCGATGAAGAGGCTTCCAATTAGCTCCTTTCCTAAAGTGCATTTCACCATTATAAGGTTTCAAAATTAACGGTCGTCGACGGAAATGACATAGATCTAATTGGAATTTAATTCCGTTTTTTCGATATTTACATTTTCTTGAATGATAACAAGACCGGCTGTTATATTATTTATATATTAATAAGGAAACATTGTTTTTAATGCGAAAATATTTTCATTGTGCGAATGCAGCGTATCAGATAAATTCCAAGCATATGATTCTTGTATGGATTTACATGTTTCATATACAAACGAGTCAAAACAATATATCAAATTATTTCTAGGGTGCGCTCTTAGCATAGATCGACCCGTCTGTGACGTCATTCTTTCCTGGGCCCATTCATCAGTTGTACTTTAACTACAGTTTCAATTCACAAAACTACCAGCAATATAATCTGTCATTATTGTAAAGGTTAGCCTGTTACATGTTACTTTTTACGCATTTATGTCAAAGTTTTAATATAAATTGAAACATTTACAGCTTTTGTGACGCCCGCTATTATGAGCTCCCAATCACGGCTCATTCTCACATCTTCTAAGTTGATGAAAATGTCTATTTGAAGCATCTTGTTGTCACCTTTGAATGTAACAAATCTGTATTAAGTATTATAATAGTATATCCCAATGATATCTGTAGCTGTAATCTTTCACCAGCATGATCCAGATATGTTTATGTAACGGTTGAAAATTCATGGCGAGTTTTAATTCTTTTGAAGTAACAGTACTGTTTTGATTGGCGTGCTTTTCATTTCTGTGATCATAAATGATGGAGGCTGTTGATCTCGGCTTGAATGTCAATCTGTGATGAAATCCTATAAATCAATATAAAAACAATTTTGAAATTTCGGAAGTAGTTTCATATCAATTTATATTTGTATGTTTGTTTGTAATGCATATTAATGATGTTTATAATTATTATTTTACTTCTTTTTTCGCGTGCGCAAGATCAAGGATAATGTATGAATGTTGAGTGTAATTATGTTGTAGTATTAAGGGCGTGTCTGTATGGTAAAGGTTACACTTAGTACAGCCGGTTAGTTTTCATTTCTCTTTTGTTTTGATAATTCTCTTACTTATATTAAAGTGTAGTGAGCGAGTGAGTGATGGAGTTATGATTCAAGTGGAATTGTATTTTATCAAGATATGTGTAAAATTCAATCTGAAGTCTTGATATTTGATAACTCTACAAAATGAACCCTTTTCCCAATGGTCATTACATTGTGTTTCCTGACATTTTTTTTAAAATCATTATCATAATTTGTATATGATTCGTGACTGTTTACATTTTAATCATGTATGTTAAATATGATTCGTGACTGTTTACAGTTTAATCCTGTATGTTAAATATGATGTCGTCTGTTTCATTTTTTTAAAGCTAATGAATCTCTGGTGATGCATAATGGTTTTTCATTGATGCTTACTTTTCTTGAGGAATTAATTATTTGAAGACCATTTACGATTTTATGAAATAATCAAAATACATTTTTTCTGTATACGATACGAATGATTTTAGAATATCACCTTGTATGTTGTAAGAATATAAGTCATAATAGTCTTGCTTCCGTCGCTACTCGATTTCAACCTGATGTTCATACTTTCGGCTTTTTAAAAGCCATATATATTTATTTCAGTTTAGTTTTGATCATCAAATCAGTGTGAACGAACTACATTTTACATAGCTAGTCTCTTCGTATTTTTATCGGCTAAAATTTTACATATGGAAATACGTATATGACCACTAAGCTTGTACGATAAGGAGAGGTATCGGACTGCGAAAGAATTGCTTCTTTCTTTTGAATCTCGAAAGGCGGATTCAACAAGTTCAGTTTTATCAAACTGCCGCGACATTACAAGATAAATCACAAAGTTAAACAGCAAGAAATCGATAAATTCGTAACTGACCGTAAAGAAACACTTGAATATTTCTCGTTGGGGTTTTATTAATACTTCGTTAATGCGAGGACCATCGCTTTTTAAAAATTTTCCTTAAAAGGGTATTTACCCAATGTACAACAATATAAATTATCTGTTCATAAGCAATGATAACCGGAGAAAGTAAAGAGAGATACTTTCAAATTACAATACTATTATAAAGAAAGGAATGTTTATTTACATTTCTCAGATTATCAAAATTTATTGTTTGAAAAATTTCAGAAAATACTACCTAATGCTTGATTCGACTTTGTGATTGTATTATAACAGTCAATATAACTATTTGCATTTGCATTGAATTGTGTGGTGAAACCAACTGTTAATTGAAGTATTAATTGTCCAAAATACCACTGTCACTTATATCTCTACATGAAATAAATGAATGTTGTAATATAAGAACTTATTTGTTGTAATCTAGTTATGATTAAATATAATTTTATACGGTATTTTTCATTATCCACATCAGTGTTAAATAATAAGGGTTTTAGAACAGAGGAGGTAATATTCAATATTATTCCATCTTTCCATGATTTAATAAGATATAAATGTCAGGAATTATTTTAGATTGAACATTGTTTTAAGATGCTGTTTACTTTTAGTCACAGTTGAGTGATTCGGGTGAAGAGTATTAGTATCATTGCTGACATTAGCACCTTACAAACAATTTGTTTTTAACGGTTGAATGCGACATTCTCGTCTTCTCTGAAAACAGATGTATAAACTGTCATTCATATATTCTGTGTACTGAGAAATGTTCGCTTCCGTTTATTTTCGATTATTTTCCTCCATGAACAGGGAGGGCGAATTTAAAATGGGGATGAACATTTCTTGCACCTATTTAATTATTTGATATTATCCTCAGAGGGCGAAATGAACACGAAGTGAATTCATGTATATTGGTACAAGGGCGAAAATAATTAGGGGCGAAAATATCATGGTATACAGAATCTAGTGTAACATTTTGCTTAATCATCAATAGAACAATCAAAGATGTCGTCGTACATCAATGGTCACAAAAAATATCAACACCTTTCTATCAAATCACAAAAGGTGCAGAAAAATAGTTTTTAAAGCTTTATCCTGGTAGTAGAAAGCATCATCCAACTAACAGTAATTCTGGCCTTTGATTTTCATTATATATTGAAATCATTAGTATGAATCTACATTATGGTGATGGTAAAAGTAACATCACGAATGTTATTACCTTCAGAATATAAAGCCAACTTACAGGCGAGACGGCTCAAGGTAAGATTGTGCGAGACCAACTTAATATTTCATGCACAAATTACCCTTATCTTTATCCTTCTTTTCTTGCACTTTAAGGAAAGATTAACAGTTATTATAGTGGTAAGAGCACGGATGAATCATATTGCCAGTTGATCTATTCATGAACAGAACAAGGGTAAAAATGAAAGAACTTGTTAAAATTTAAAAAAAAAAAAAATAAAACTCGAAGGGTTTTTATTTATTTTATTTCATCGTGTTACAAAACTATATTCACAGTGAAAGTGATCTCTCCAAGAAAATCTGCTGAACGCAAATATGAAGAATAATGAGTAAAGGTATCAACGTATATCAAGGATGATTTATGTAGGGAAAGTTTTCAAAATTCCATATCTTTCATACTACTTTGCTTTATATTAATTCAATGTTGTCCTGGTGTGTTAGTTATTTAAACATTTATATCTGCATTGTTTGTAATTTGCATTCGAATAGAAAAGTAGTATAGCTGAAAAGTCGTCTCTAAATACACGTGATATGATTGTTGTAGTATTCCTCCAAATTGTTTCATTGTTCTACCGTTTCAAGCTGAAATACTCGGAGGAATTAATTACTATCCTACATGTGATAAAACAATGTGCAACTTAACTAAAGCTTTATGTGTGCATACCTAGTATTCGGTAACTATACGTTTAATGAATGATGTTAATAGCGATATATATATATAAATGAATTCATGGTTTGTTGTTTTCTGGGAAGTCCATTTTGCAAAATGAGACGGCAATCTGAAAAAAAAGTAAGAAACTTGAAAACAAAAGCATAAATGTGCTTTTAAACCATATGTTGACGTATCATATGTCAGTTTTAGAAAGAAATAGATGCAGTATAGCCGTATCATTAAATCATTTAAAATTGCATCGTATGACTGTTTCGCCCTTATAGATCACGTCAGCGACGATTTTGCTTTATGGAATAATGATTGGGGTGTTAAATTTGTATTTTTACAATGTATGAAACTCGCTGATAAATTTACTGTCGGAATCACCATGGTGAACAAGCACTCTTTAATGTAAATATAACTTTCCTGATACTTACCTCATCGACAAATGCCTGGACGCCAGATAATCCACTGCAGCCTCCTACTCTTAATGGTCCTGGGCTGACCTTCAGGGTGTCTGCAATAGCAGATATGTATATAAAGCACACATTCATAAACATACAGGAAGTAAAACCTTTTTTAGAGAATTGTGAACGCGAAACGATGCATATTTTCACGAAGATGCATGGTAAAATGTATAGCTAGTCTACATGTTAAGTAACGTGTAATCTTAAGTACTTCCATCGCAAGATATTAATACCTTTTCTACTTGTCGGTGTCTGATAATGGCGCGTGCAAAGTTCTTTGACACGGAGAAAGTAGACCCGTGTAGGCCATTATCTAGGTAACCAATGAATTGATGTAGTACAAAACTTAATTAAAGTACAGTCTGTGTTGCTGCAAACATATCATACATAATAGAAACATTAAAGTGTTTGTCGTAGTGAACACTTCAAGTCATTTGTCCTCCAGTACTTACTTGTAAATGCGCGCTTTTGAACCTCCTCAACTACATTATTGGTAGCCGGATCGACATACTGAAGCATTGCTTGTAGATCTGTTCCACTGAATATAAACAGAACATTGGTCCAGACCTTTACCTAAATGGAAAAAGGAAAAACAAGCTTTGATTGCCTATCGTGATAAATCCAACGTCACGTGCACTCCGTTTGTTATGGTAATGCAAACACATAACTCTATACATTTGTGAAATTTCGTATAATTTTTTGTAATGGTGTGTTTAATTATTTATGCTTAATGCCAATTTTCATTATAAGATATTAGATGATACATTAGGGCAGACTAAACAAAATTATACAGCAACGGCAAGTACCATATTATTCCTTTTTATTTCAGTAACAAATTCAAATGTATGCAACACATACATGGGTCACTAGCTTTGTTGAGAATTCCTTAAATATTAGATTCAAAATATGACACATTTCACTTAAGCTTTAAACAATCGCGAGAATATGTCACCTGACATTTGATTTGATATGACTATCAAAGTTACTCGTTAGTCACTCCTCGCTTAACTACAAAGTAATAAGTATCAGCAGAAATGCATTGTGTATTCCTATCATGCAAAACTGAAACATCCAACTGCCCATTAGTTAGCAGTAAATACCTGCACACATCGTCTCAGTAATGCGTGGATTTATTTCAGATTTATTACAGGATGTGGGTACAGAATAATAAGATATTTTATTAAACAAGCATATTTGCATAATGTATGTTTAATTGATGAATGTAAGTTTAAGTAAGAGCACAAACTGTATTTAATGCATCATAATATCACCAAGTAAAGTATAATTTCATACATGGAAATCATGGACAATTCATAAATTTGGATTTTTGTCACTTCTTAGCACACAAAATACATAGGTCGGTATATTATTTCAAAAAGGTCACTTTGAACCTCACGACTTCAATTTAACTGAAATGAAAAATGAAGATATTGAAGACTTTTCGCTTAAATAAAAAAAAATGTCAGAGTCAATATTTAATCGTGTGCTGAAGTGGTGAAAATATTTATTTATAACTCGTATATGTATATTGATGACATGATACGACGATGTTCATAAATTAAAAATATTGTTAACTATGCTTTCATTTTTATTAAGTATAACAAATGAGGTCAGAAGCAGAATTACTTAAGGGGGCTTCTAGACGGAGCAGTAAACTAAATTTTCACATCCAACTACAGCCTAGATAATGCGATCTCCTACAGAAGAATTCTTGTGTTAGCATACCAAAATGCAAAAATGCGTATACCTTATAAGGCAATACGAGTTCAGTCCAGGCTCCATCGGCGCTCCTGGCCCTATATTTCATTAACCCTTGGAGAGGGTCGAGCTTAATCTCCAGTGACGACATATGATTCTCTGTGTCGTCACAGTTGGAGAGCAAAGTCTGCTCATCAGATGTTTTAGGTTGTAGGACGTAAAGGCGTATTTGGAATCCGAATTTTCTTGACAAATTATCATTTCCAGTATAAAAAGGCACTGTAATCTGAGAATCTCCTTTAAAAAGTCCAAACCCACGTAGAATGTCGAGGTTATCATGACCAATAAAGATAGTAGTGGCTCGATTTTCTATTTTTCCACCAGATTTTCCGAACGAGATAAGGACTTCCAGCTTGCAGGCTATATTAAAAATGAAGAATTGAAGTTCACATATACAAACTTCGTAAGATATTGATGTATATATCATTAAAATTGAAAGTTTAAGATATAATATTTGTTTAATATTTGTACTGTCTAACACAAGGTGAAATACATGTGTGATATATAAGATATTTTTCTAATCAGTACATGTGTATTATTTAGATTAACATGAATATTTTTATCAAAATTACTACGAGAGCATGAAACTTACTGGGCTTGTATCTAGAATCAACACAACCGCATGCTGTCTCGCTGAATTTGGTGCCTTCGGGACAGGAAAGCGGTTCATTTTCCCTGTCAATATGGTAGAACCCACGTCCATTGTGGCGAATCATTCGGAGCTTGCAGCCCGCAACAGCTGATAAAACCATAGTGTGAGAGTAAATATTACAATGAAAACAAACAAATGTTATTACTCATTATATCGCCTTTGGTACCTCCGTGATTATTGTACAGGAATGTAAAATATCAACGTTGATAAAGTCCTGAACAAGAAATTCACTTAAAATATAGAACGGTGTCCAAGATGTTGGGACATCTAAAATAAAAATATTCCTAGTCATTCCAAAATTAGCATTTGAAAATATCAAACCGTTGCCATTTGATTTTGATCATGGTAAATTTTAAAGGTGTATATTATGTATACGTAACACTATTGAATACGTTGCGGCGCTCATCGTACTTGTTCGCCGTTGGTCAGACAAGTCGGGTCACATCGGTCTTTGGTATTTATTTGTTGACAAAATGGAAAATGCAAGGAATTACCAGATTTACTTACCTATCATAACTCTGTACATTATTGAGTCAAGGTAATTCAATCAATTTATTTGTGTTTAAAAGTATATACATCAAAGAAATGAAAATGACAGCCTTAAGACACATTATGATGTATACCACCCTATGTGCATGTATGTTGTTCTCAAAACGCTACCTTGATAAACCGTGATTGATTTTAAGGAAAATCATGGAAAATAAACAAGGCGTCGGACTCTATGTACTTCATAACATCCTGCATCATCGCCGACATCTTTACATTCGGAATTCGAAAAATAATACATGTAAGTGGATACATACGACTAATGTTTACTTCGTGAATAATGTCATTGTCCCATTGTTAGGACAATGTATGTTGGTATGTTTACATTGGAAATATCAAAAATAGTTGAACGAATCTAAAGCTACATTATCATCTACCAAAGGTTTTGTTTAATTAAATCGAAACATTTGATAATAAATTGGAATTATTTCTTATCTTATAAAAGAATTTAGAATGATTTCCAGCAAATCTTAGAAATTACTTATAAAATACCGACAGCATGATAAAACTGGTTCAGCCTTGTACTTTCCTGTCTTTAGATGAAGTTTCCGAATAGCCCCGACAACATGGTATCTCAAATCTTCTACAATGTCTGGACATTGAGAGTCAAATGCATTTACCTTTGGCTTTATTTTGCTGTAAGACAGAGACATATCAGATATTCGCTTTCTCTTAAATGTTCTTATTAATTTCACACGGACGCACGCGCGCGCACACACACACACACACACACCGCTGCATTATGCGCGAAGCTAGTTTCTTTGTCACTTAAGTACTTACTTTCTGGCCGTGTTGTAGTCATAACAGGGAATGGGTTCTCTGTTTGTGTTTCTACTGGTGGTTGCTCAGTATTTGCATTTACATTCTCCGATGGTCCAACTTCGCATTTAGTTGTACACATATCTGATTGTACACATGCTTGAAGACTTTCATCGTACCCCATTCCGTTCGCGCAGCAGTCGGGGGATGATTTTCCCTCCGCACACCGCCAGTAATGCTTACAATGACCGTCGCCATCAAAATAAGACTTCAAAGAGGAGTCTTTAACACAGGGATCTATAAATGATATTGATAAAGTTAAAATTATATATACATCAGCAAAACAATGCGACATTATTTGAGTTTGTTCGTTTGTTTTCACTGACTATTGATTCAGGTTCCTAAAGTAACCAGGGCCGTAAATAGGCGATTTACACGGTTACAAGGGTATTCTTGATACTTTTACAGTGCCATCACACTGAAATGTCATAACCCGGACTCGGATAGCATTGCCTCTCACCCTGTTGCGTTACACAGACAACGAGCATATCATACATTTGCATCCCAGTTAATATACAACATGTATCATAAGGCAGCATTTTATGAATCTTGTATGTCACGACTTTGGCAAAGATCCCATAATCGTCTTGAATCTTGAACAGCTACACATGATCATTTATGATCAAGTATCAATAATAGAATAAAAAATATATAAAGTAAACACAAATGAATTGCGGAACATCAGTAAGTTCAATTATTCATTTAAATTATTCATCGAAAGCATGAAATTCTATCTAAATAACTATTTAACATTTTTCTTAGAAAACTTACCTGCGGAACATGCTACCTCTGCTGAAAATGCGCATAACTTTCTGTCTGGATCGAAAAACGTGCCAAACGCACATCGTCGAAAATGTGAAATCCCGTTAATACAGAATATGAACTGCTTGCAGTCTTTTTCGTGTGGTAAAAAACACACAGGTTCTGAGGTATCACATTGGCAACGCTGGCTTTCTGAGCCTGTAAAGAATACAGAATTGATACATCATTATGCCATCACACTGTTTGAAGGTGAGGCTGGTTTTCACAAAACAACGTTCTAGAGATAATAATACGTTCGTTGTATCTAATTGATTAAAGAATTACGCGTATTTCTGAAGGAAATAAGTAATATAGTACACGTAAAATCATAACGTCTTTCACAGATTGTGGCTGCGTTATTTTAGAGTACACTCCATTATTTTTGTCAAACTGACAATATGTATACTACGCCGATTTCGATCTTTGATATATCTTCTTTTAAATAGTAAAATATTCTTCCTTTAGTGAGTAGAAAATCTTACACTTTTAAAAAATTTTGATACAAAAAAGATGAACAAACAAATTATAGACATACATTTTAACACAAGTTTATTAAAAAAAAATGTCATTTTCTTCTTGAATCCAAAGCACGAAAATTTCACTCCATTGAAAGAAGAAATAGTTCAAATTAATTTTGTAATTCTGAATTCCAGTATGTTTATGATAATTTGTACAAACAATAGAGCTGTGTAAAATATACACATTGATTCTAGGATTTAGCATATCCCAACCAACTGACGAAACACGGATAATAACTTATATATACATATTGTTTTAGATAAATGAGCGGGTAAAACCGAAATGTTCATAAATAAGATGGAAGAAACGGAAATATATCAAGACTGTGTTGTAAACTTGACATCCTAAAGTGACACTCTCGGGAACAATACTTTCTACAAAATCTTTAAATGCATTTAGACATAGACTTGGTAAATAAACACGACGGGAGTCAATGAATCTCAATTACCTATTCTTGGTGTTATACAACATAATAATGGTCATTTTACGATGATTTCATTTTTATTGAAATTTAACTTGATTGTCCTTCAGGAATGTATCTTATGATAATTTCTCTTGATCAGATTGTATTCTCGTTTTATATGTTCTGCGTTTGATGTGAAAGCCAATGTTATCTTGTAATTTGCAAGAACAAAGTATTACTGTTAAACATTAAGTCTCAATATAGGACGATTGTGATACTAATTCTAAGGATACAGGACAATTTAATGGATGTCAGAATTTATGAATGACTTACGTATGTCAAATTTACTTTGATAGTATCATAAATTAGAACGGGAACATTATATAAATACAAAGGAAAGAAGGAAGGATAAGGTAGTTCTGTCAACAGTTGGTATATGTCTGTGGTGACTATCACCGTGAACAAATGTACATACTTTGAATAATTCTGTGATATTCATTTATGTTATGCGTGTAGACAATGTAATTAGCGTTAAGATTGTAATGAACATTAACTGACACTGACTTTAACTGCAAAAATTTCGGACGAACTCAAACGTGTCCTACGTAATAAAAACTGGAGTTGATGATATTTCATACTTATTTAAGCGATTCATCTAAAGATGGTGAAATTAAAAACTCTTACCTTTAACTGACAAAAGAACTATAAGTGAAAATAATGTCCACATCTTCTTTTCTTTGCTTTGTCTGTCTATCCGGAATGATAAGTGACGGGATAAAAGCCCGCGGCTACTCTGGAATTTGATAAAGAGAAAATGATGTTTCGAATTAGATCAGATGCAGGTTTATGGTAAATAGATTTGTCGTTCAAGACACACGCAAGCATATGTAATATTGTTCATCTTTGGCCTTGCACATGTTAATGGCTAATGGTTTATGTACGCTGACAGAATTGTTTACTGTGAACTGGCACCATTAACCGGATAACGCAGAATGTTATCACCTAGAAAGTATTTCTTCATTCGCATTTCTGGTTTAGTGAAAACATAGAAATATTTTATTTTTTTATGAATGTATAATGATTTGTTGTTGTATTGATCTCATACTATGTTTGATAATTTTGTTCCTATTATGTCACCTTTATGTATTTTTTTCGTATTTCTTTTATTAATAAGAGTAGTTGTAACTCCATCACGAACATCAACATGTTTGTTATCACGATTGTGAAAAATCCGATATGATCGGTAGAAATGTCAAAATATAAATTGGGAGGTAAGCATCATACACTGTACCACTATTCCAATGAATACGAAGGTCACGTGCAGGTTATGGCAAACCTGGGGCACTATAAGTCCTTCAGCTGTGTCATTTAAATTGGTTTTATATAGTCTTATACATATTTTCTTTTGTAATTGGTTTCCTTACTTAAATTAGGATTCGGAAGAAGGAAAACCTGGCACATATCCGAAATAGTGAGGTTAATGTCAAAAAGGACATTATTTCCACATCTTTGCTAATCACGATGTTTTGTATCAATTGAACAATGGAAAAATATAAACACGAAACAAAATGATCAATTTAACAATAATTCTAAACCGTTGTCTAGTTTTTACTTAATGGAGTTATGTCAACATCTCTTCCTTTCTTTATCAAACATTTTATTGACAAAGACATGTAATAACACTTCAAACCATGTCCTCACATAGGAGGGTTTCACTCATTACATACATATACCTTCATTTATACACACGCTACAAATTAATCAAGCATTCTGCAAGCATTTTTTTGGACATAGACAATTTTTTAAAATGCTCTCCTCACATTTTACCTTTTGCGGAGAGATACATTGATAATCCATTGATAACAATCGTAGGAAGATACGTTCATTATTTGTTGTTAAAATTAATAGAAGGTAAAAAGATTCATTGGAACCTATGGTTTCCTTAGAGCTATGTTATGGTTTCATTTTAACAACAAAACCACGCCATTTCAGCACAACCTAAAACTGTATCAATCTCTACCTAAGACTTAACGGAATTGTCTTTTACACCGTGGTTATCCAACGCTTTAAAGGCCGCGGTAGGCTACATAAGGTAGACAACTTCAAAATTCGCTAAAATTACAACATTGTGGCAGCTGTCACCTCAGAGGAAGGATTTGCTCAAATTCATTTTAATCTAATTACGGTTCGAGTTTCAAGGGAAGTAGGTGGATACTTGCAGTGACTTCTGGTTTATTTTGTACTTAATCTAAATGGTCCTTCGTTTTACTTTTCACGATTTCATTTTTATCTTGAACGTGGTCGATCATCAAAAGTTCACCCTTGATATAGATAGGGGATGTCAGCGGCCCTTACAATGACCGACACTCAGGCGATGTTTTATATAATTAACAAACAGCGAGATCAATTATACATCGAAGAAAAAATAAAGCATTTTCCAACTTACTTAAAAATGTGTCAAAGCTATTAATGGTGTTATTATTTTACTAAAATTTTTAACAACATCATATTTCAGTATATTTTGAATGGCCCTCACTACAGATTCCCTCTGCACGAGTAAACCTAAAATTGCCGTCAATCTCGCAAGGGTTTATTTTTCACAGGTTTGCAAGGACAAGAGTAGAGACTTTACTAAAAACCGAAGTTTTGAGAGAAATAAGATATTTGGTTTAAAACATTTATAGCCCGTGTTTCCTTAATAAATACGAAACGCAACATGTAAGAATAATAAAACGCAGTACTAACGGATAAAAATATATACATTTATTTTTTAATCTTTTCATAAAGTGAGCTACGTATTTAAGAAATAAAAACTTGGCAGGATTATTAATGGTATACGCTAGTTTTAATGCGTTTTGGTTGTGCGCTGATGACAACTGTCTAAGAAAACAAATGTAAGTATCGGCGTGCAAGGTCACATCGCAGTAATAATATCTACATTTGCTTATACCACCAGTGTCTATCTGACTGTCTGTCTTAAACCATCCTTTGTTCTGCCAGTCTGTTTCCCGTTGTACATGTTTATTTTTACATTGGTGTTTTGCTCCACCCATGCTCTTATATTTACGTCATTCAACCAGTTTTTGACTTTGATTATCACAAAAAATAGTATTAATAAGATCAATTAGTAAATTAAAGTTGTGTCTGTAAATCCGGGTCAGATCGTCTTAGTCGTCAATAACTGTCTCATCTTTATCACACAAGTGGTTATTCGTTCACAATGACCCTGTCCATTTTCCTCGTTTATTTGCATGTCTATAGTCACGACTCTTGACAAGTGTGGTTTGGCACACGATAAACATAAAACCAGTCGTAGTAACATGGACGGGAAGTATAAGTATTTTACAGCCTGTGCGCCTGAATACCACACATATGAAATAAATACAGGTAAACTTTATCCGTGTCTAGACATCAAAAAGACAAACGACAAGCCGTCCAGATATAAATCAAACAATGTTAAATATTTCAGAAAAGGCTAACAAATAAGGGAAATGACTGTCGCAACACACGTGTTCATCTGTAACAGTAGGTATAACATATTGACAAATTAGGATTGCTCTTTTCAACCTGACAATACTTACTTCAAAATATTCATAAATAATTCGAAAGAGAAGCGATGCTATTTAAGAGGTTATTAATATTAGCTTAATAAAAAAATCTGATTTACAATTCATTGACCATTATGGTCGCCTCCATGAGCAATATAAATGTATCTTTAACATTTTTTTTATCTTTCATGTCAATCTAAAGTCTGTCACTTGTCATGTGCATCAGGTTGATACCCAACCAAAGTCAACGCCTTAGTATAAAATAACTCGGGCAGCTGTTGACTGCTCCTAATTACCGTAACATAATATGGAAATTTGACAAAGTGATCCTCTGGTAATTAATTCCGGAAATAAAATATGATAGTCGAACCTATACATACACGTTGCTTGATGAATGGTGAAAGTGTTAGCTAACACCGAAATCGTTTTAACAGATTTTCGTCATACTTACATTTCGATATTAAAACTTACATTTAATGCAATAAGAGACCTATTAACAACAGATTAATCCCGAACATTTGCATTGAACCTTACAATGGGCATATTGTCAAGGGTGTTATTACGACATTTACATGTATTTTATATTAAAGTTATATCGGTACGTTAATGACTGAAAGTATTGCTTTATATAAGTACGGTTGTTAAATTCGGTGAACGAAAAAAAAAAAAAAAAAAAAGATAATGAGATAATTTAGTTTAACTATAAGTAGAAGCTTAGAATCTTTTTTGTTACAGCGAGATCACATAATTTGTATCTATAGAAGCTGGTAAAGATGTCAGTTCACAAAGGTATCATATTGCCAACGACCTAAGCAGTTAGTTGGCAACTATGTTTTCTTGATTAACACGGCGTTATCATTATTCTCGAATTAGTTCGTTATGAGAATTTCAATATATGAATTTTTGTACTGTAATTGCCCTGCTGGCACTATTCAATATTTGTACACGTTATCTTCCTAATCTTTCCATTGAAACTGCCACAGTTTTGGTCTAATTTATTGTTCGATCATGTGATGCAGGTAGTAGGCTCTGTTCAGTAACTTCCCCTTGCCTAAAGGGGTATACATTCCAACTGAAAGGTCTCTCAAACGAATAATGAATGAAACTACGATTAGAAAATTATTAAAAGAGAATATTCATTAATATTTTAAACAATCAAGGAAACTCTAACACATTTATTTACACGATTTAAAAATCTGCTGATGAGCTGTCAATCAAAACCGATCGCGGGATTTGGCACGAGGGACATGCGCAGTCATTACAATTGCAGCGCCACCTGCGTTTTTTTTTTATTATTATTATTATTTGCGTTTTGCCGTCACCATTGCCCTATGGGTATCCTACTAAGATTCTGCTGACGATCCGTCTCCAGTTTCCGTCGTTTCTTCGCTGATGCGGTTATAGATGGCCTTCTCTCTTTCGTTTTGCCGCGGGATCATCTATGTTTTCTTCTCTCTTTTTTTAGCACGTGCGCGATATGCGCATGCCCGAGATTTGGTTGCTTCTTTGCCACCCACAACTTTATAGAATATATCGCGTCCTGGCGTTTATTCTTAAATCAAAGTAAACAAATTGATAGCGTGACTTGTAAATTTTGGTAATTTCGGAAAGTCATGAATCCCGGGATACAGGAAAAAGAAGATATTGCGCAAAGTTGTTTTCAAACGTAAATTAAAGCCAGAAGTTCGTATGTATACCCCTTTAATGCTCGGTATGAAAGGTTGCAACTTACGAATTGCCCGTCGTCAGTATAACGTAACCGAGTAGGGTGTCCTGCTGGAGGTCTCCGGTAGTACACTTCAGTATGGTGGTACTATAAAGTCGGCTTCAGTTTCGCACTATCAAAAGGAGACATGAACACACCATAGTCTCCCGAAAACATACGCATTCAGCACGGGAAAAGCACAAACAAATAAAAGGTCAACCGCAAGCTTTACATTTCACCGACACCCTCAGGTTTAGGAAATACATAAACGGCGATTCTGCAATAAACGTTATCGTATCCATGTAGTGTGGTCATGTCCAATGTAACTGTTCTAATTGGGTGGCAATTTGTGCCGTGTAAGTGTGCATTGTCTTACATTAACAGACTGTGCCGTGTTTACTAATGTTTAGTGTCATTATATAAATACTGAATAAAATAACGATAACCAAAAGGGTAGATACATTGTCGTATTTT